TTTAAAAGTCTCTTAAATTTAGAAGACGGTCCAAATTATGTCTCCTTTGTCATGGGTCTATTAAGAATTTTGCCACTAGAGGGCTCTTAATACCATATTTTAGTCAATTTAAATGTATTATAATAATAATACAATATTGTAGGTGTTGGGTAATACTATCTTTTCAAGTAATATATCTTACAAAATTTTTTAGCTTTTGGAGGAGAAGAGTAATAGTTATCATACATTCTGATATGTGCAATAAGGGAGATTATGCATAGAAGTTAAAAGTTCAAAAGGAATCCAAAAGAAAAACCGAGTGCACAGAATGGAAGTCTCTGATGAGGTAACATTGGAGCTAAATCTTTTGACAGGCATAGAGGAATTTAGATGGGAAGGAAAGGAAATTACTCTGGTCACCGGGGAAAGTGTGGAGACATGAAATAGCCTTAGAGATTCAGGGACTTCTTGGCATTATCATGGATCAATTAGAAATCCATGACAACAGCCCAAGTGAAAATCCTAATATTAACATTCAGCAACGTTCAGTTTCCCACAAATGTACTTCAGCAGCCCATTCCCATGCATCATACCCTGGACCTCATTCACTTCTTATACAACAAATATTTATTGACTGCCTACCTATATGCACCAGGCACTGTTCTGGCTCTCAGGGGACAGTAGTGAAAAGACAAATGAGATTTCTATTGTTGTGATTTACAGACCAGTCAGGAGAAACCAACAATGAATGAGAAAAACAGGAAAATAGCAGACAGCAGTAAATGCCATGCACAGAATTAAACAGGACAATGTGATAGGGAGTGACTGGTTGTGATAGATTGGTTGATTTAGGAGGCTTGTATGATGAGTTACTATTTAAACTGAGGCCAGAATGACTAGAGGGAATCAGCTATCTAATGATCAGGTTAAAAATATTCTAGTCTGAGAGTACAATTCCTGCCAAGTATTGAGAAATGAGACCAGGAGGGCCAGTGGACTGACATAAGGTGTGCAAGGAGCAAAGTGGTGTGTGATGACGTCGGAGAGACACAAGATAAGACAGGGCTTTGCAGGCCAGAGTAAGAAGTTAAGGTTTTATTGTAAATGCAATGAGAAGCCATTAGAGAGTTGTCAGTAGGAGAGGGGTATGATCTGATTTATGGCTTTGCAAGTTATTCTGGCTGCTATGAGAGGCTGAATATGAAGAGGAACCAGAGTAGAAGCACCGTGTCTAGTTACATTGCACTGGGGAGGCCCAGGAGGTCATGATGGCTTGGATCAAGGTGGCAGTAAGAGATGCAGGAAGGTGGACATGTTTTGGAGGTTAAAATAAACAAATCCTGTTGAGTTTAGAAACTGAACAGATGTGGTGCAATTTAGGACAGGAATGGGCAGAACTGATTGAGAATGGCAGCGAAACAAGTGTTTTGGGCATGGTAAGTTGGGGACACACAAATGGAAATGTCAAGTAGGCGAATGTGAAGGCCTGTGGATGTTAAGGACACGGGAATGAATGGAAGACTCCAGCAAACATAGGATAATGATGCTTAACTTTTATCCCAAATGAAGCAAATGCTGCTATATTTTTTCAAAATTCATCTTCGATTCCTTATCAAGAGCCAGTACTAAGAATTTATTCTGAAACTCTGGTTAAATTATTTTTTGATGGAAAAAATTGAATATCATCAATGAACTTCCTTTCTCTAGATCTTCTTTTGATTGACAATATAATTCAAGACATTCTATCAATTTGTAGTGTTCAGTGTTGACTTGGGGAGATGTGCAATATCAACATCACCTGCTTCATAGCCCACTGTTGATATCAGTCTGTTCTCTTCAGTAACTTTCATGATTTTTGTCGCTTTTGATTGGTTTAGTTGTATTTTCACTTCTAAATCTTTTATCCATCTGGAATTTAGGGTACAGTGGGAAGAATCTAAATCGTTTTTTAAGATCATCTTAGTCAACTGTCTTGAAATGCTGTATAAACCTAAGCTTTTTCTATTGATCTGAAATGCCATATGCTAAATTCCCAAGTGGATCCTGAGGTCTATTTCTGAAATTTCCCTTCTGTTTCCACGGACCTTATTTATGACCCAGGTTACGTTTTTATATCGAATTCAAATTGCATATATATTAGAAGACTTTTCATATCACAAAATCTGCATATTAAGTTGCAATGAAAAATACTTGCCAGTGTTCCATGAAGTTCTTCTGTTATTATAAGCCAATTCTTGTATCTGTTGCATCATTGAAAACTTACAATTTAGCTACTTTCTCTACTTCATATTCAGGCAACATTTTCAGGCAAACAGTTTTTTAGAAAGTATTACTTTTTATGGATTTATCGTTAAGTCTATAAATTTAGTGCAATTCAAAGAAAAATTCCATTTGGTAACTTTTGAGACTTTACAAATTCTATTGAGATTCCTAGAAGAAAAAAATAGATGGAAAATAGCCAATTTTATCAAATAATTATTATGAAAAAGAACTTTTCATTATCAGATATAAAACAAGATGATGATATGAAGTATTTTTTTTAGTTTCATTGCCAACAAGCTTTGTAATGTATAAACCATAAATAATTATATTGTGCAGAAGTATGATCTGATGATACAGCTGCAATGACAAAATAATTCTAGTTAGTTATCAAGATCAAGGAGCTTGCACCAGGATGTATGTTGACAAATTGCTTCTGTCATCAAGGAGTCTTAACTTCAAAATGGAATCAACTTTTAGTTGGGCTAAAGAGTAACATAAAATACTGAAAATTGTTAATTATATAAAGGCAATGTGTTAAATAGAATATTCTCTCTCTTATGTGATAATGTAAAGGCTGAGAGATGCCTGTTGCATGCTGAAGTACTGGGTTATCAAGGAGAAAGTTCTTTTGAGAAAGTCTACATTTTTAGTCTTCCTGCAAAGTGAGAAACCAGTTTGATCTAAATTCTGGAGCATTCTCAACTTTTTGAAGATGTGAATTGGAAAGCCTGGCTTGCTTTTTGGTCTGATATCTTTGGTATTTTTAATGGTTGTAATCCTTCTTGTAAGAAACAAATGCAACTGGCTTTTTAGTGGTAGGCAGTATCAGACCACCGAGATGTCCCATGGGCACCTCAAATTCAACATATCCACAAAAGAATTCACTACTTTTGTCCCACACCTGTCCTTCCTCCTTTCCTTGGTAATTGTATCCCCACCCACCTTATTACCTAAGCCGGACACTTGGGTGTCAGTCTCCCCCATCCCTGCCGTGCTTCTCTGTTCAGTCACCATCCAGGTGATGTTGGTCGTACTTCTTCATCTCTCATCTCTGCTGCTCCCAATGGCCTTGGTGCTTCCGCCTTGAGGCCCTGATGCCCCTACCTTGGACTTCTTACTCTTCAGTAAGGAACACTTTCCTTAGCTGGCCACCAGAATACTTTTCCAAATACAAATTTCTTCATGTTACTTTCTTCTTAAAAGTCTTTTGTGGGTAGAAATCCCAGACTTTGAGTGTCATCCGAAGCTCTCCCCAGTCTGGCCCTGCCTCTCCCTTAAAATGCTCACACACACACACTCCCAGCATGCCTCACTGCAGCCATACCTGACTACTGGGGGCTCTGAACCCTCTGTTATGCTTCCTGTCTCCCTGCCTCACTCACAGTTGGCATACCCTCTCGCCATTTGGGGTGAAGACCTAATCATCTTTCAAAATTTGAACTTTACCATCTGGTAGTGTTGCCTAGCTTTACCCACCCAAAGACTACTTTCCCCACAGAATTGACTATTCTTCCTTTGAATTCTTCTTGCGGACACCTAATGTTTTACTACAGCACCCACAAAAGTGTGTTATACATATGTGTTTACCTGCTTCCCTAACAGACTGGAATCTCAAGTCAGGGAACTTGCCTTTTTCTTTCTTTTTTACTCCAAGTATCTAGCAGTCCTTGTACAGTCAGTGAGTGAGAAGGTTCAGAGGTTCAGTGGAAAGGCAGAGACTGCAGTAGTGTTAAAACTGGTCGAGAGGAAGGCACAGGGCAGTACTGTGAGGAGAGGAAAGGAAAGGGTCGTTCACTAGGGGCTCTCGGCTTTGTGTGGTGGTCGAAGATAAGAACAGTTGGAGTAAATGGCCTCATGCTTCTGACTAGAATTCTGGTGGAAGGTGGGTTCTGTTGCTGTAGAAGTACAGGCGGTATTTGGTGTCAAATGAAGTTTGCTGCTCATCCTCCGTTTTCAAATATTAGCACACACATACTAAAGTTTGTAACACTTATCTAGGGCTTTATAGTATACCAAATTCTTTATTTCTATTAATTTATTTGACCCTTGAAGCAATTACCTCCCTAAGCTTTTGGTTTCCTTTTTGTAAAATGAAGAGAATAACTATCTCTTAGGATTGTTTACAAGATGTATTATATGTCTGGCACAAAAGTAAGTACCAAATATGTTGTTAAGTCATAAATTCGAGGCCCATAATGGTTAAATGACTTGCTCAAGGCCACAAAGGTAAGTTAGCAGCAGATTTAAATACAAATTTCAGATCTTATATCCTTCTATTATAATATTCTTTTTATTACACTAGAGTATAATGAGATAATATCTTCTGTATTACTTGGTGCATGACATCTTTAATTTCCTTCAGAGGCTTACTCAAAAGCAGGCTTTGGAATGACTCGATCAGAGAGCTGATTGCCAAAATCAAGCAAAATCTTAAACTTGGCTGAAACCAAATGCAAATATAAATAATATATTTATAGCTTGTATTGCTTTCTACTATCTCTATTTTACAGTTGAGGGTTTATAGCAGAGAATTTGAGCAGCTAGTACCTGCCCTCATAAGTTCTATAGAGATGTGCTCTCATTTTAATTGATTCTTAAAATACTGTTTTTTAATCCAGTTTTATGCCAGAGCAAGTGTCAGGTTGGGGCCCTAGAATGAAGGTAGCTGGCATCTGAAGTGGGAACTGGAACAGAAAGAATGGATCTAGATGGAAGCTGACACTGACAATCATACCCATCTGTCCTTGTGTTTTGTGTAGAGTTCTATCCAAGAAGAATATGAAACCACAGAATGTGACCCGGAGATGAAATCATTAAGTGAAATGCTTTCAGCAGGTATTCTTCTAAATACATTTTTAGAATTTAATTTTATTGGGATTTTTTTGCTTACAAAAGTAAAGCAGGGTCATTGTAAAAAGAAAAATCAGGTGTTGCAGAAATATAATTGAAGTGAAAATTCTTCAAAATCCCTCTTCTGAGATAACCAATCATATGCATCTGTCCTTGTGTTAACCAATGTTAACATTTTTAAAATTTGTGCTCTCTCTTTCTCTTTTGATTTTTAATAAAATCAAGGAGTCATAGCATACAAATGTTTTTGTTGAAAATGACCTTTCTCATCCAACAAAATTGTTATTCTACATAGATACATAGAACACAATACATATTCTACTTAAATGAATAATATCCAACATTATGCTAAGTCAGAACACATTAATAACTTCTCTTAGTACCTGTAAAATTCCATCCAATAATGAAACTATTTAAATCCATACTGATAGGCAGGTTATTTCTAATTTCTTATTATAATGTTGTAATGATTATTCACAAGCACACATATGCAATCAGAAATTTCTCAATACTTTTGTATTTCAGGCTTATTCTGGAAAATAGCAATTGAATAGTTTTAAAATGTCAAAAGAGTGATATCTAATTTTTAAATTTTTTGTTTTTGAGATTAATGTACACCTTCCCATTAACTTTGTTGTTATACTTCTTTCCCAGTAAACTTTTAAGGAATATATTTTCTATATATTTCTTAGCATCTCTAACATATTTTTCATGTCTACTTCATCACTTTTTTCAGCATACTTTTGTTTCAACAGGCAACTAGGTTTATATCTTTAGAATTTTTCTATAACCCTTCTGAGGTAATTTTCCTGTTAGGAATATAATATTATAGTCAATTCGTGAACTTCTGTCAGTAATGCCAATGTTTTCTACTTGGTAATCCCCAAATAATATATATCATAATGTCTAAATTTGGACACAATTTTCTTTCTCACTTTCTTTTCAGGTAAACGAATCGTAAAATAGATATATTTGAAAAATTATTAGTCTGCATTTTAGTAAACATACACAAGGAAAAAAGGGCAATTGCTTACCTGGAATTTTGTGGGGATATTTCCATTATTTTCAGTGCCTGATATCCATGAGTTAAATGTGCTTCTTTTAACAGGGGAGGAAAATTGTAATGATAATAAAAGACTAACAGTTCCTGTGTTTTTTACTATGTGTCTGGCACCAGTTCTAATTTCTTTATCTGTATTAACTCATAACTCTCCCAAGTTCTATAAGATAGATACTATATCCATTTTAATATCCATATTATAAGCATTGGGTAGAAGAAGTAGGAACTAAGAATAAAGATTAATTAGTATATCTTGCTTAAAGTCACAGCTAGGAAAGGGTGGGAGCTGTAAGTGCTCTGGTTTCCCTTTCTTATCCATTATATTCTCTTGTGATAATTTTTGTGAAGGGTGGGAATGGTCCTAGTAATATGTGACTTCAGATAAATCTCCTGATTGTGCATTGAGAATTAAAGGAGCATAGAATGTCTCAATAAAATTTCTAGACACAAGAGATTATCCAATCCAGTTTTTTTTTTCACTTTTAAGCCTCCATCCCTGTTTTTCAATGAACTGGGCCTATTTTTGTTGAAAAAATAAATAGACTTAGTTTCATATATGGATCAAATTTATTTTTTCACCACTTCAGATTTTTAGCCACATAATGTCCAATTTTAAGAAATTAATTTGGCAATCATGAAATTTTGTGTTAACCATTTTTTTTGATCCTTTATAATGAAGGACAGCGTAATATGTCACTTTGGCATAAGGATTATTTGAACTGAAAGCAATGGAGAAGGTGCAGATGCAAGAAAATCTCCACACCCTCCCCCTATTTGCCTAAAAGCAGGACATGTATTTTCAAAGGTGCCTCCATCCTCTTGCTATCAGGAAGGACAAAGTTTAATTCCCAGAGACAGCTTTACATTGTATCAGCCTGGGGAGGGCACCAGGGTAATTTACATAACAAAATTTGCCAAATAGCCTGTATCTCCCTCCTTAGAAGCCTAAAACTGCTTTTCTTTGTCCTATTATTTCTCCACATATTTGTTGTTCTTTGTTAAAGATGCTATATAAGCTGGAGTTCTAAACCACCTTTTTGAGTTACTCATTCTTCCCTAGGTATCTCCCATGTACCCATGACATATACATGTTACTAAACTAATGTTTTTTTCTAGTTTATCTATGTCTTATCACAGGGATCTCAGCCAAGAACTCAAAGGGTAAGGGGAATTTGTTTTCCTCCCCTACAATAAAATTGTTTTTTAAGTTATTTGAAAATGCTTATTGTATACATGCTTATTATATACAAATTCCTAAAATGTTGAAATATATATGGAGACCTCCCTGCAGCCATGCCTAGTAAAATTTTCAAGGCTAGCTTTATGAGCAGTTCTGAACTAATCACTTTTTGAAAATTTTTAGTAGCTAAATAAAAAGTTCCTGTATCAGTTCTTCATTTCCCTCCTAAAAAAATACAAAAATGTTATGACCTATTTAGAAACTGATGTAATCTGATTAATTTTAGCACAGTTGTTGCTGATAGAGAATGTTCCTGAAAAGCCATATTACTTTGAAGACAATGAGGTTGATTTATACCAATTCTCAACCCTGGGCGGAGTATACCACTTGGATATTTTGGAGCTTCCTCCACAGTGTAAACCAATGAAGGGCTGGATGATGGTGGAAGTAGGTTGACTCTTGAATCAAAATGTTTGAGTAAACTAATTTCTCATATTTTATCCCAAATGATCTACTGTCTAATGAACTTTAATCTTATTGAGCAAGAACAAAGGAAAGTAATTTTGAACTGTCTTGAATTGCTAATATTTTAATCCAGTACTATAGGGAAAAAAATCTAAAATATGTATTTTAAAACTAGAATTCATAATGTTAACTTGTTAACTTGTAGCATTATGTTTAGATTGTGCCAGTTTGGCCTTAATAATGATAGTCTATTTCAGAGGCTGGCAGACCTTTTCCTGTAAAGGGCCAAATAGGAGATATTTTCAGCTTTATGGGCCATACCAGCTCTCTTGTCAGTCCTCAATTCTGCCATTGTAATGCCATTCTAAAATAGCCATATGTAAGCAAATGGGTATGGCTATGTTCTAGTTAAACTTTATTTACAAAAATCAGTGGTGGGACAGATTTTCCAGGGGCCATAGTTATGGACTCGGGTTAGATCTGTGGTTCCCAGCATGTGGTTCCTTGACCAGAAGCATCAGTATCACCTGGGAATTTGCTAGAAATGCAAATTCATGGACACACTTTAATCTTACTGAATTAGAAATCCTGGGGGTGAGCTCAGCAGTTTGGTTTAGGAAAACACTCCCTAAAGTTTGAGAACCACCGTCTGCATCCCTGATAAAGTATGTTTGATGGACCAACAGCATTGGCATCACCTGGGAACTTGTCAGAAATGCAGAATTCGGGGCTTCACCTCAGATCTGCTTAACAAGACCCTCACGTGGTTCATATGCACACTGAAGTCTGAGGCGCACCGATCCAGGTGGTGCACAGACCACATTGAGTAGTAAGGATACTAATGATAGCAGGCAGGCCGTCTTGCAAGGAGTTTCCCACTCCTGTTTCAATAAGTAGTGACACTGGGCACTAGTACCGACTTGGTCTATTTTAACTTTATGTCATGAGCTTGCATCCCAAGTGTACTCAGTTATGTTGTCATAGCCCCTTCCTCCTTCCTTCCTCGCTCTGCTGTCCATCATTTCTTCCTCCCCCTCATGTTCTTTTCTTCCTCCTCCCCCCATCCCTCTCCTCTAACACATCCTGTAGATACATCGCACATACTTCTCACGCACAGTCCTACCCATTAAGTACCTTAGTGCATTCTTGTATTAGAGCAGTATTTCTCAACTTTTTTTTTTCCCTCATCATCCCTGTAAGGACCATTTGTAGACATTTTTTTTCCTCTAAGCTTACTCACCATGAAATTTTAATATGATAGCTATACTGTGTATCTGTATTTGTGCTGTATGTATATCTGTGCTTTATACATAAAAGAATATGGTATTTTTCACAACCCCTCACTCAACTATTTTTTACTCCTTTGGGGGTGATATCGCCATTCCTTCCCCCTTCTCCCTATAAATGATAATGCATTTATTAGAGCAAACCTGGGGAAGGTAATTTTATCTGTGGCCACCCTGAAGATTCTATCTGATTCAGCCTTCCCTACCTCTGGGATATTTGAAGGACACAAGGGAGTCCAAGAAAGATATTTGGTGAAAGGCCTTCAAAACTCTGTCTTCATAGAAAGATCCCAGCCTGAGCTGGAGTTTCCAGGATTCATTTAAAGATTTGCTGTTTTTGAATTTTATCAGGGTTCTGTACCACCACTCCATGATCTCTCCATTTGGGCCTGAAGTGTCTTCCTTCACACGTATTTTACTCTCCTACAATAAGGAGGCCTTCCAATTTTTCAAGTCTCTTTTCAGTAGTCTCCCATTTCCTCTAGAATGTCCCTGACTTTTCCTCTCTATTCTGTAACATTTAAAAATTTTCCCCCTTCCCTAGATCTTTCTCTGCCAGAGTCAGATAATGGAAAAATCTCCCTTATATGAGAAATAGCTATTAGCTTAATTTACTTTTTCTTCTTCCAACTATAATGAGATATAATTGACATATAAGATTGTGTTAAGTTTAAGGTGTAAAATGTGATGATTTTTTAAATTGAAGTATAGTTCATATACAATCTTAATATTAGTTTTAAGTTTACAACACAGTGGTTCAACATTTATCCATATTATTAAATCCTCACCCCCATTAGTGCAATTACTGTCAACATAGGAAGATATTACAGAATCATTGGCTATATTTTCCATGCTGTACTACCATCCCTGTGACCAACTTATATAGTGATTAAGAATTTTTATTTCCTTCTGTCCCTTTCATCTTCCCCACCCACCTACCCCAACCCCTCCCCCATGGTAATCACTAGTCATTTCTTAGTGTCTCTGAGTCTACTGTTCTTATGTTCATTTTGTTTTGTTTTGTTTTTATATTCCACAAATAAGTAAAGTCATGTGGTATTTGTCTTTGTCTAGCTTATTTAACTTAGCATAATACCTTCTAGGTCCATCCATGTAATCACAACTGACAGGTTTTCTTTCTTTTTTATGACTGAATAATATCCCATTGTGTAGATGTACCACATCTTCTTTATCTATTCATCTATTATTGAACTTTGGTTGATTCCATATCTTGGCTATTGTACATAATGCAGCAATAAACATAAGGGTGCATATATCTTTTTGAATCAGGGATTTTGGTTTTTTGGGGTAAATTCCAACAAGTGGAATTATTGGGTCATATGGTATTTCCATTTTTAGTTTTCTAAGGAACTTCCATACTGCTTTCCACAGTGACTGCACCAATTGACATTGCCACCAACAGTGTAGGTGGGGTCTCTTTTCTCCACATCCTCGCCAACGCTTGTTATTTCTTGTCTTTTGGGTAGCAGGCATTCTAATGGTATGAGGTGATACCTTGGTTTTGATTTGCATTTCCCTTATGATGAATGATTAGGAGCATATTTTCATATGCCTGTTGGCCATCTGTATTTCTTTGGAAAAATGTTCAGGTCCCCCACCCATATTTTAATTGGGTTGTTTTTTTGGTTTTGAGGCTTATGAGTTCTTCATATATTTTAGATGTTAACCCCGTATTGGATAAATCATTTACAAATATATTCTCCTATACTCTGTTACCTTTTGTTCTGTTGATGGTATCCTTTTCTGTACATATGGTTTTTTATTTGACATAGTCCCACTTGTTCATTTTTATTGTTTCCCTTGCTTGAGGAGATGTGTCCAGGAAAAAAATTGCTCATGCTTATGTTCAAGAGATTTTTGCCTATGTTTTTTCCTGAGAGTTTTATAGTTTCATTTCTTACATTTAAGTCTTTGATCCATTTAGTTTACTTTTGTGTATAGATTTAGACACTTTCATTCTCTTGCATGTAGCTGTCCAGTTTTCCAAACACCAGGTACTGAAGAGACTCTCTTTTCCCCACTGTATATTCATAGCTCTTTTATCATATATTAATTGACCATCTATCTATGTGTTGGTTTATGTCTGTGTTCTCTATTCTATTCATTGACCTATGGGTCTGTTTTGTGCCAGTACAATAATGTTTTGACTGTAGCTTTGTAGTACAGCTTGAAGTCAGGGAGTATAATACCCAGGCTTTGTTCTTTCTTAGGATTTCTTTGGCTATTCAGGGTCTTTTGTGGTCATATGAATTTAAGGATTATTTGCTCTAGCTCACTGAAAAATGCCATTGGTATTTTGATGGGGATAGCATTGAATCTGTAAATTGCTTTGGTCAGGATGGCCATTTTGAAAGTATTATTTCTTTCTATCCATAAGCATGGGATAGATTTCCCTTTATTTGTGTCATCTTTAATTTGTCTTATGTCATCTTTAATTTGTCTTATGATTGTCTTATAGTTTTCAGAGTACAGGTCTTTCATCTCCTTGGTTAGGTGACTGCAGTGTTATATTGTAGCTCAGTGACTGTGCTTCTAAGAATGACTGTAGTTAAAATTAACTTTGGAAATTCTGAGTTTTTTAATCTACATCTATTATTCTTATCAGCAGATTCTACTCATTGTTTAAAAGTAGGTTGTGGATTACTTTTTCAATGACTGAATGTGACTCAAAACTCTGCTGTTAATATTTTTAGGGTTTAAAAAGGAAAGGTAACGGGAATGAAATGTCTCAGTAAGTAGGGACTGGACTTGATGGCGTGTTCGTTATGGAAACATGAAATACATGCAGAAACTACTATTATACATTACATACTTCTGAAACAAAGTGAAAGTTTTGTTTTACATGTTTAGGTGCTCTTATGTTGGTTCATAGATATCTATATATCCTCTTGTTGGATTGATGCCTTTATCATTATGTGTGTCCTTTGTCTCCTGTTGCTTGCTTTGCTTTGAAGTCCATTTTGTCTAAGTATTGTTACTCCTGCTTTTTTTCTACTATCTGCATATCTTTTTCCATCCCTTCACTTCAGTCTTTGTATGTTTTTAGGTCTGAAATGAGTCTCTTGTAGGCAGCATATAGATGGGCCTTATTCATTTACCCATTCTGCCACCCTGTGTCTTTTGTTTGGTGCATTGAGTTCATTTACTTTAAGGCAAGTATTGATAAGTATATACTTATTACCATTTTATTGTTTTGTGGTTGTTGTTGCAGTCCCTCTGTTCCTTTCTTCCTCTCTTAGACTTTGTTTTTTGATGGTTTTCTTTAGTGTTGTGATTGAATTTCTTTTTTAAATATTATTTGTGTATCTGTTATAGGCTTTAGGTTTGTGGTTACCATAAGGTTCATAGATACTTTCCAAACTATATAATAGTCCATATTAAGTTGATGATAGCTCTATTTCAAACACAATCTAAAAGTACTTCTTTTTTATTCTTCATCCTCCTCACTTTATGTATTAGATATCATAATCTGCATTTTTAAAAATTCCTTGGCTGATTTTTGTGTAGTTGGTTTTACTACTTTTGCTTTGTTTTAATTTCATACTTGCTTGATATAAGTAATCGGTGTACTACCTTTACTGTGGGTATATTTTAACTGACGAAAACTCTTTAGGCTTAAGAAAATTTCCATCTGCAGAAGTCTCTTTAACATATCCTGTAATACCAGTTTAGCAGTGGTGAATTTCTTCAACCTTCATTTTATCTGGGAAATGTTTTATCTCTCCTTCAAATCTGAATGATAATCTTGCTGGGTAGAGGATTCTTAGTTGAAGGTTCTTCTGTTCCAATACACTCAATATTTCATGCCATTCCCTCTGGCCTGTAAAGTTTCTGTTGAGAAATCTGCTGATACACTGATGAGCTTTCCCTTACAAGTATTTTGTCTGCTTTCCTACTCTCTCCTTATCCTTGATCTTTGTAATTTTAATGATTATGTGTCTTGGTGTTGTACAATGTGATGATTTTTAATTTATGTTCATCAGTTCATTTCTACATTTTTCAAAAGATCACTTATACTTGTTTCTCTCTTCCCCTACACACCCTAACCAAAGTATTGGAACATAGACTTTGGGGTCCTGTAGATCTTTTTTTTTGAGTTGTGATGCCTCCATTAATGCATTTTGTAATCTTTGACAAATACCTGATTTCTCTAAGTCCTAATTATCTTGTCTACTAATTATATACCTTGTAGAATTACTTGATGAGTAAATTTCATCATAGAATCTGGCCCATACAAGAATTCCATAATTACATTCAAATTTAGTAACTGTTTTGCTCAGTCATTATTTTAATTTTGTTGTGACATTTTGTTAGTCAATCTATAGTTAAATGGGACCAAACTGCAGGGCTTATTAAAAATAACAATATATCTTATTCAGAAATACTTATATCTTTGTTGTAGCTTCTAACTTAGTGTTGTTTTGGTCATTTTTAAAAGATACTCAAAGAAGGACTACAGAAATATACCTATCCTCCAGAAACTACCGAAGAGTATGACACAGAGAATGCCTTCCCACCCATAGAGGTCACTCTTGAGGTTCAGAAGAATGTCATCTTTTTCGAGGATCCTAAGGTTGCAAGGTGGGATGCTGAAGGTACAGTACTTTGATAATTATGTAATGAAAATAGCTATAATAATATAAATCCTTAAATCAAAACAAAAAATGCAGTGTAAACTGAGATTCTAATCTTACATATGTCGATGCCAATTCTAGGGTCTTTGTTTTGTTTGCTCTTGAGGGAAAGGAATAGGAATTAGAGTTTAATAGTTAATTGAATTACATAACTATTAGTTTCTAAAGTATTCATATCTGCCATAATTTCTCAACTTTATGATTATATTATATTAAAAAAAGTAAGGAAATGAACAAAAGTATCAAGATAGAACAGCACATAAAAAACTAGTAAAAAGGCTATTCTCTTCTAAAATGACCAAATAATTCAGATTGGAATGATTAAAATTTGAGTGTTTTAATGTTAATGATTTATAAATTGCAAATCTTATTACAAGTTAAATTTGGGGCATGGGGAGTGGGAAAATGGGAAACCTGAGGAGGATGAAAAATAGTTATTGTATGCTTCTTTATAACTTTTGATTGTTGAACCATTGGAAAATATTGCTTACTCAAAATGTTAAATATCAATAAAATAAGAACAAATAATACAAGCTAATGATTCACCAATCATTAACAAATACCTCATTTTGGGTTGACTGGTTAAACTTGGAAAGGTCTTGGTTTTATGAAATAATGTATGCAGTTTTGAGGCTCCTAGATGAGAGTTGCATGGTAGCTTTGTTTTTAATGTGAATTAATTTACTGCCACCTTGGAACAGTTAAGATCACTAAGTCATAAAGGTATTTATTTTTTCTTTGTGGAGGCAGAAAATTTAGGAATACCAGAAAGGGTAAATATTTTATAGTTTAAACTTTTTTATGATAGGTACAATAGACCACATTTTTTCTTGTAACAGACATAGTCACAAGGTATTTATATTCAAAAAATAGTTTGTGTTAAAAACAGTATTTTCTATCAATACATTAAACTATAAAATATATCAAAATGAGCAATTAGGTAATTTCTTCCTTTAATGTTGCTTCAGAAGTTTCACTTCTACTTTCTTTTAAGGATAATGTTCTTGAATATTTACTTATCACACTAAAAATTATTCACACTAAATTAGAATTAGAGAAGGTAAGTTATCCCAGGACCTAGGGAAATTTGTGTACATTTGGCTCTAACTGCAGTAAGTGGCAGTTACTGACATCTCCAGTGGTTCTTAAACAAGGGGGACATTTTTTGCCAGGAAATACTAGAAATGTAGAGAATTTATTTATAAGCAGTACTTCATTTTTACCTTTATACCGTGAAATAATTTTGTTAATGTAAAAAGCCAACAGAGGAATTACGAATAGCTTAGTTTGTCAGTATAATTATATTTTTTATATTTAAGGGTCAAAAATAGTCCATGGAACCCTCCATAGGAAAAGAGGAGAAAACCAAGTAGAAATGGAGAGGGCATCCTAGGAAGAGAATGATTCATTCAGTTGTTCCATAATTAGGTTAAACCATAAGAAATACAGAGATAGATAAATGAGACACCCTTCCTTCCTCTAGGAGTTTTCAAAGTTGTAGAAGTGGAAAACAAAGAAAATCGTAACACAATGGAGGAGGGTGCTAGTAGATCAAAGTGCTGCAGAGCCGAAGAGTGGGTCTGTCTGGAGTGTGCAGGCAGGCTTCTCATAGGACGGAATATTGAACAGGGCCTTAAGAAACTGAGAGAACATTCACGTGCAATTCTTTGTGTGGTCAGATATTTTCATTTCTTTCACCTACATATGTAGGAGTGGAATTGTTGGGTTGAATGGTAAATTTAACTTTTTAAGAAACAAGAAACTGTTTTTCAAAGTACCTGTCATTTCTCCACATCCTTGCTAACACTTGTTATCTTTTTTGATCATGGCCATTCTAGTGGGTGTAAAGTGGTATCTTGTGGTTTTAATTTGTATTTCCCTAGTGAACAATAATGTTGAGCATCTTTTTGATGGATTTATTATCCTTTCATATATATTCTTTGGTGAGATGTTTTGCCTATTTTTACATTTGGTTGTGTTTTATTGAAAGTGATACAAGAGACCACCTATTATAGGATTGTATTTATGTGAAGAGTGCAGAAAAGACAAATCTTTGGAGATGGGAAGTGTTTTAACATTTGCCTGGTGCTGGAGGCGGGAATGAGAATAACGATAAAATGGACATATGGGATCTTACTGGGAGGATAATCATCTAAAACCGGATTGTGATGATGGTTGTACAACTGGGTGAATTACTCAAAATAATTTAATTGTATTCTTAGGACAAATGAACTTTAAAGTTGTTTTAAAAGAAAGGTGAGAGGATGAAGGAAGAATAGGAAGAAAGAGCTGCATGTTCAGAGGCTCAGAGGCATATGATGTGGGGAAAGGAAAAAAAAGTGTGGCTGAAAACAGGTGTGAGAAGCGGCAAGGGATGCAGCCAGGAACGTGCGTCAGAACTGCTTTCTCAAGGTCTTACATACCATGCTGAGTTTGGACTTGATCCAGTGGATGGGAAGTGACTCCTAGCAAAGCTGGCTTTTTGTTGAGATTCTACTCTAAATGTAAAAAATCAGTTTATATACTTTGCAGTTATTTGGGTGATTTCATTCATCTTAGTTTTGTGAAGGAACAAATGAAGCTAATATAATTTTCTTCCTTATTTTAAAGGTAAACATTGGAAAACTGATGGCATCAGCAGTGTATCTTACAAATCTGAAGAAAGGCTTATAACATTCAGCCTGGAGACTTTTGGCCCTGTTACCCTGCTTCAAGAGACTCATATTAACATGCCGTTCCAGTCGTGGGAACTAACACCACTTGATGGAAGCAACGTACTGCTGATGGTGACTACAGTGTTTACTGAGCTGCAAATACAAATTAAGGTAAATCGCTATTATATAGCAAGTCATATCAAAGCGGTAAACCTTTATAAGAGTGTGCCAAAGCAGTCAATCACTGATGATTTACATATTGAAACGTCTTTCATAAACATTTAAAATACACCTTGAACTATAATTTCTAAGGGAAATATTAATTGGACAGGTAATGACATGTAATAAATGAGGCACATTTTTGTACCCTAAAGATATTACCAGGAATAGACCAATTATTAAAGGTAGAAGGCTGGTTGTAATGTAACTTTTGAGAGAGTTTCGATGCACTCTACATAGGCTTTCTGATTTTTATCACTCAGCCATTTGAAACCCTCTTTGAGGTCGGTCCCTGCAGGAGCCTGTATAGCTCATCAGTCAGACATTTCCTAGCCTGGAAGTTGGACAAAAGTAGATCAAGGGTCGGCCTGCAGCTGAAGGTGGGAGCGGGGATTGACTGTGAATGGACATAAGGGATTTCACAGGGGGGATGAAAATGTGCTGAAACTGATTTATGCCAACTGTTGTCAGTTACAAAAACCATCTTCGGATTGTTCACTTGAAATGGGCGAATTTTGTATGTAAAAAATACATCACTGAAGTTGTTTGAAAATAGAAAGCCTGAAATTCCCTACGAATGTAGCTGGAAGACTAGAATATCATCAAAATTTGCTTTTAAAACCAGATAAGGATGTGAGTTCTTACACCTTCAAACTGCCATTTTGCAAACTTTAAAAGTGGATAATTTTGCATTAAATCTCATGTGTATAAAATAATTATCCTTCAAAATTAAAATATGATTGCTCTCAAACAGCTATTATAATTCAGTGAACACGTAGTATTCTTAGATCAAAACTTATAAAATGGGAGAAGACCTGAAGATCCTTTAGTGCAATCCCCTGATTGTTTAAACCAAGTCCAAAAAGAGTTTGGGTAAACTGTTCAAGGTAACGTGGAGACTTTGGATCAAGCCCTATACATGTGTCTCCTGCATTCTTTTTAGTATAGAATGACATAGGACTAAAAAAATAGTATAAGGAATATTAAGGCTGGAACTGGAATGATATGAATAATTTAACTTACAAAAGCTGCTTTTTTCTTACCAAAATTAGGAAAACCTTTGCATGTTAGCTTCAATCAAACTAAATGACAAAAAGCATTCCTCTATTTTAGAAGGGAAATGGATGACTCCCATTTCTTTCATTATTGCTTTGAAAGAAGCTGGACTGAATATCTTTCCTTCTGGACACTCTCATTTTTATGTTGTCATAAACCACAAGGTAGGAATGAATCTTTCCAAATTGAATATAATGGACATTTAGAATGTTAGCAAGTATTAAATTTTATATAAATCTTAAGATACACCATCGGTATTCTATATTCATTTATACACAAAATTACAGTTAGAAAGGAAGAAGTAAGTGGCAAGGCCAGAAATCCAAGGTTCTCTCAGGTTTAATAATCTTCCCCACGAAAGTAAGCACACCTGTAGTGTGACCTTCACAGTGACACATGGAGCATATGCGCAGCTGGTCAGTTTAGTGCGAAGGTAGCCTAAGCAACTCCCCATTTTATATATTTTCTTTATTCTTCCAGACTGAGATTTCTTAAAAAATAGTAAATGACTGTAGTTTCACAAACATGGTAAGTCAGGTGAAATCAAACACATAAAAGGACCATTTGGATACAAAACGCACTCCCTTGTGTTTATTGGCAGAGCCTCCCTGTCTGCATGAGACTGTAGCTAAATGAAATCCTTGCATGTTAAACTGTGAGCTCCTTGAGGACAGGATCTGTTTTTTAATCAACTTTGATTCTTCTAGCATCTAGCATGTTCCTAGAATACTATAGACATTTAGTAAACATTTATGATATATGAAGACAAAGGAGCTTCTAATAGTGGCAGGTGTTTGGGCAGGGGAACTCTGTACTCAAGAACAAAGTTATAGTTTACCAGAAAATGACAAAAAGGTAGGCATTTATATAACATTTGAAAATGTCCGATGTGTACTTACATGCATAGGTTTTAGTAAATTCATTGTCAGTCTACAGATGCTGAATGTAGGGGGCTATTTAACTTTCCAGAATATTCAAGAACTTTTTCTGAACACCTATACTCAAGGCATTATTTCAGATGCTTAGGATACATTAGTGAATAAAAGAAAGACCCCTGCTAAGCTTACATTCTAGTGAGGGAGGCAAAAATAATAAAATGATCTCATATGTTGAAAGGTGTTAGGTCAGGAATCATGGGGTTAGAGCAGCATACAATATTAATTAGGGTGTTGGGGGCTCAACCTGAAGGTGGGGAATTTAGCCCAGTGGTTATGTCATGAGGCAGCTTCCAGGCAGAAAGAACAGCTGGAGCAAGAGCCCTTAGAAGGTGGCCTGGTGTGTCTGGGGACTGGAGGTAACGGGGGCCTGGAGCTGAGAGAGTAAGGGGAGAACAGGAGATAAGGTTGGACAGATAATGGGGTGTGGGGGCAGGTCCGATCAGAGGCCCTTGCAGGTAATTGTGAGAACTTCGGTTTCTACTCTGAGTGCAAGGAAAAGCCATTGCCCCATTCAGAAAGAGGGTTCATATAACCCAACATCTTACATGGATCGTTTGGGTTGAGGAGAGTGGCTTGTTGAGAGGCTCTATGAGCTATTCATTTTGTTTTTACATTGACAGGTTCCTTTGGTAGAAATGAAAGCTTACCGACAAATGGCTCTGCTAAGCTCTGCTTTTGCATTTAGTTGGAGCAGGTGGAATATGCTGTGTGATTCTAAACATGTTATAATTAAGGTATAGTATGCAGAAGCCCATACAACTACTTTGTCTTCCAGAAGATAAGGTACTCAAAAGCTAAATGGATGTAGACCATGGTTGCATTTCTTTTGAAAGTTTCAAAATGGAGTTTTGACAATTCAAAAAATGTTTTAAAAGCATAAAACCAAACTGTAAAGGTTATACCTTCATTGTTCATCATGTCATAAGCTCTTGACTTTGGGCTAGAATCTTTATATCTCTTTACATAATTCAAGAACAAATGGAAGCCTTTAACCTGAATGGGTCTGTGGTTCACAGACTTTCTCCTCTGGAGATTAGGCCTCCAACTGATTTTTCTGGCACATTTACTGCTGCCTGATAATAAAGAAGGTGTCCTCTGTGACTGAATGAGCAGCCGTATTTGTCTGCTTTTCTCCCACTAGAATATAAGCTGCTTGAGGACAGGGTTTCATTATTGCAGTTGTTATTAATATGTGGTTTTTTGTTTTGTTATCTCCCCAACACCTAGAAAGTACTTGGCACATGATAGCCACTCAATAAACATTTGTTGAGTTAATGCCTTTTGATAAGCTCCAGAAACACCGGGATATAAAGTTTCATGGTTTAAAACATGGGACATTAAGAATGTCCCTTTTAACGTGAGCAATTTTAAGGATTGAGTGGAGCCCTTAAAATAATACTTTACTGCCAAGATACCTAGCAGAAGAGGAACTATTAACAGATTTCTCTAATTTTCTTCAGGTGAGGGAACACCTTACTGAGGAAGAACCTATTCAGAACCCCGACTGGGATCTTTTAATGTTCAGTGGTGAGAGAGCAGGAAGGCTCAGGATTGACGAGTACAGTGAGGCGTTCTCTGAAGCCCTTAAGGAGGATTCCGAGTTTCATTCTACTTTGTATCACATGGTTAAGGATTTTGCTTCTGAAGAAGCAATGGAGAAAATTAGGAATTCCAACTGCCAGTTGATCGACTCTGTATGCCACATGCTATTCTCCACTAGATTGCTCAGCTATTCTTAAACTTTATTCAGCATGAAAAACCAAGCAACTTGGAGAAAAATGAGGTAATTCTTCAACAAAATGTAATGATTAAATATACTTCAAATAGGCTATTAAAATGATCTAATCAGCATTTTATACTCATTTTTTAAAAAAGTATGGTTTTATTTTCCCTATGAAGACTTGGTTTACTGAGACTTTCACTATACAAGATTTAGATCTTTATTTCAGTAAATTTCAACAAACAAGATTTAGATCTTTATTTCAGTAAATTTCAACAGACAATATCTCCTCATTAAAAGATCACAGGCAGGCTTCCTCCCCATCATATCTTAGTTGGGGAGGTAAGAAATATAGTCCTTCTGTGAACCTCTGGCTCCATGCTATCATTTCCCATCTAAAAGTTACTCATTTACAAAAAGTTCAGATACTGAAATGCTAAAAAAAAAAAACAATACACACGTTAGGATGTGCGGTAGTCACACTGGTGGTGGCCCGTTGTGTCGGAGTCTGGTAAATGGCCACAAGATATGTTCCAGAGACCTCCAGGAGTCCCCTTCTTGAGTGGGAGCAGCGTCCACAGACTTCTGGAAAAACCGGCCTGTGAGGAAGCTCACCAAAGCTGCCAACAGCACGACGAATGCAATGGGAAGCCAGAGCACCCTGTTGGCCTTTCCGATGGAAGTCTTGAGATTTGTTGCCCAGGAAGCTATTGTGTCATAACTGTAAGGAAAACACAAATTCAGAATTTGGTAATCACAATAATCTGTTAGAACACTCCTTTTGCCAACAAAGCGCTGTGGATCTGCCGTTCGTACCACAAACCCTGCCTTCTAAGGAGCCACGTACTGTGACCTGTCATCTTGGCTTGGCCACAGTCTGCCCTCAGAATGGAAGAAATGATGTGATTCAGGCATTATTTGAGAATTTGGTTTCATTCTTTCAATCAGGCAAAGCAGCTTATATATGTTTGTACTGTATATGCATATGTATATGTGTGACTTCTGGATGTTTCTAGAGCTTAAGTAACAGCATCACATAAGTCTTTGAGAATAGTGTCAGATACTGTAGTAAGCCTTTCACATGTGATAATTCATTTAACCATGACAATGAAATAATGACATAGGTAGTGTTTTCATCTCTATTCTGTAGATAAAGAAATTAATGTTCAAAAATGGGTGACCTTTCCTGGGCCATCTGGCTCCAGGGTTGAGTGTCTAATACCATGGACACTACCATGTCTATACCAAGGTTCTACCTTTCACTATAGAAGTTTATTTTGTTAAGAGAAATGTTTAACTTGCTTAGAGTTTTGTTTCTATTACTCTTCATTTACATAAAACTCACAGGTTCAGGGATGATTCCTGTAGCCATAGAAAGCTCATTATTCATCTTAAATTTAACAATTTGACAGGCCTTCCATAAACTAATTTAATGAATACCCTTAACCCTACATTATCTTTCCTCCTTCAACCAAAATGGTATCAGTTAGCAAGCAGGCAACTTACACTGCAGAGACATCCCATTTTGACGGGTTGTTTCTCTTTTCAGAAAGACTTGGCTTTCTTGTCCTTTCTACTGTTTCTTCTTCAGGTGGTTCTGAGTCCTCCTTAGTTCTGTAAATAAGTATTGCTTTTAAATATTTGAAACTATGGATAATGTGCTTTAATTTATAAAATATTTGCTACCCTTAACTGTAATTTTAGAAAGATTTGATAAATTTCAAATTCTAAAAGATCACCAAATTTAACCATTTCTAGGGATTTAATTTTAGAAAGTAACTTTCTGTATTTAGAGAACTGTTTGTTGCAGAAAGTTGGGGTACTAGTGAAGGAACAAATAAAAACGGGGAAATGTACAAAAACCATGTAAAAGCCAACTCGCATCACTTGTAATAAAGCAATATTATTTCCTTCTCTGCATATATGCATGTGAGAGCACACTTTAAAAAACAAATGTGGATGACATATTTCTTTCTCTCTGTAATTTTTGTAGTAAAATTTCTCACTCTTCCGCCACAGTATTAAATATCCTGTTTTAACAATAGGTTTTCCAGTGTCACCCAAGGACTTAGGAGACAGCATTTCATTGTTTCTCTCTAACCTGGAATAACATCAATGGCATTTCTTCTTTCTCTAAAAATCTTAATTTTAAATCTAGCTAAAAAAAACTTTAGTATTCAATGACCTGGGAAATAGCAATTGGACTGACTGTATTTTAAATAAAGTCATGCTAAAGAGGGGATCCTTTACCTGAAAAAAACTTGTTTTATTATCATGTTCATTGGGGAATTCCTAGTTGGATTTGAATTTTGAAATCCCAACACTCATAATGGCCTCACAATTGTCAAAAAGAACAAAGTTATTTTTTGGATGTTTCAGTTGAACAGCTAGTTTTTAAAGGACACAAAACCCAAAGCCATAATTCTTATAAGATTCTCAAGGTTTTGGTCTTTGGTTTGCAAAGACTTCTCAGTAGAAATCATATCATAATCACAAAAAGCAAAAAAGTAGGTTATAAGCTTTTGGAGGAAACCCTTGATTTTTTTTTTAACCCAGTTCAGAAAATATCATGTTAACTCCAAATCTGAAAAAGTTTTTGATTTATGCTCTCAGGATTTTTTTTTTTAAATACTTTGAGAGTAGGCACTATGTCTTCCTCATCCTTATATCCCTTAGGATTCTGTGTAGTGTCTATCACATAGCAGGCATGCAATGAACATGTATAAAATGAATAGAACATCATCACATTAGAATTTCTACAGATGAGGACACTGAGGCCAGATGGGTTCAAGCAATGTGTCCAGTACCTCCCAGGGACTGATAGACAGCATTTCTTCATATCTATTCCTTTTTTGCCCTGTACCTTTCACTCTAGAAGTTTATTTTGTTAAGAGAAATGTTTAACTTGCTTAGAGTTTTGTTTCTTTTACTCTTCATTTACATAAAGGGATGACATATATATATATATATAAAGTGCAAACATACTCTATTTGTGCCTATGTGTTATACATTTATTCACATAGTTTTTTTAGAAAACATCTAAGTTGATGGACACTTTACTTTTATGGCTCCTTAATGACCTTCTCCCATGATGACCAGATAGCTATATGGGACAAAAATTATCTTCACAAGTCTGACAAATTTCAAGGTGTTTTCTAACTGAAGATCACAGAAATTGCAGTTCTAAGTGCTATAAGAGTGAATGTATTCACAAATAACATTTATATAGTGCTTTACAGTTTCTAAAAGACTTAACAAATTGTTGATCTCATTGAATAAATGTGATCCCCACTGCTTATTCACCAGCTCACATCAGGTTAATAAACACACCAAGCTTCACCTACTTTAGTTCACATTTTTCTTCTTCAGCATCTGCCCAGGAATAGCTGCTAATAAATCGATGTAATGAGGGACGGTGTTCACTCTGCTTTGACCCCAAAATACGCCTAAATAAAGACGATTATAGCCACTTGTCAAATCAAATAACATCTGTAGCCATTATTTTATTTCCTACTACCTAAATCAACTAAAAAATGATATGTTCTGATTTTTTCATTGGAATGTTCACATATTTCATAATAAACCATTTCACGATCATATTCCAATTTTTATAATTAGTCTGCACATAATGCTACTAGATCACTTTTTTTCAAACATTTACTTTAGCCCAATTATAAAATAGTAAGGTTACCCAGGAGCAACCATAAAATTACTTACCAACTGCTCAATCTCCTACTGAAACGATCGTTATTTTCCATCCCAGCCACCTTTAAAGTTCAGATGGTAAAGAAACAATAAAATATGAACTTAGTGAAGTTTATATTATTTGGCATATGAAAAGGAATGTGCTTTTGACTGAGACCATGTAGGAATTTGCTTACCATTCCTGCATTTCCAATATTTCTGGGCAAAGAGGCAATGGTCACTCTTCGAAGAGAAGGTGGCTACCCGAGAGGACGAAGTGTACATTTAGGAAAAAATTGTCTTGGCGATTTGGTGCCTAGAACTCGGGAAGCCATCTCAGGCCATATGGCGGAAGCAAAGGTCCGGGGGTGAGGAAACAGCAAGGAAGGAGTCTCCAGGACCCTGCAGGTTTTGTGAAACTGCCCCCCACCCCTGGACTGCTTATTTCTAACTGAAGTTTCACACGAGAGAGAAACTATCATTATACTGGCCTTTTTCTTGCTGGTGGTGAACTTAAGTGATACATAAATACAGCAAGAAGTATAAAGGCATACATATATAAACATATATGCACACATGCATATGTACATACAAAACAATGTAAATTAAAATCACTGTTTTATGATTTACATGTAAAGCCATCTTACTTTCAAATACTTTAAACCGTCTCACTTATCATTGATAGACATTTGTTAATTGAATTAATAATTACCTTGGAGTTTAGAGAAGCTGAACGTTTTTTAATTTGGCAGTCCTCTGAAAGGAAAAACGTATTTGCACATTTTAGGAAATACATAATGTAATTTAGTGCAATGGTCTTGATTCTTTACAAAGAAAAGAAATGGTCAGAAAATATTTACTTATGACCCTAGAGACGACTGACTATATAAATATCTAGTTATTTGGTGATTTATAACAATTACCATCTTAAGCAGTGGAACAGAACCCTCTCATCACTGCAGATATCCGCAGTGCCTACCTAGCAGCACAGAAGGCACTCAATGAAAGTATGCTGAAAAAATGAATCCAAGGTACAAATATACTTACTTTTCTAGGAAAGGGAACAGACCATTAAAACTATAATTCTGCCCAGAATAGTTCATATTATCTAATTAAATAAAACTATTATAAGATCTATGAAAACCTTAGATATTTTCCATAGTCTCAGATGTCTCCCTCTTTTCCAATCCTTTGGCCAGTTTACTATGCCAGAGTCATTACTTCAAAAAGTACAAAACCATGTCGATATGAGTGGCTCATTTAAGTTATTGTTCCTTGCTGTATATTTGGAGAAAGCCAGTTCTAGAATATCCTAAGTAGGAGAACACTAGGGTCGACTAAATGGGTTGGATTAAATATATTCTCTCAGCTCAGCAATTTTTTAAATGAATTTTTGGTGTCATTACCAAAGAAACCTCCTTGTTTCCCAATCTATTTTCTGACATCTTACTTTGGGCTATATAAATAGCAGGAATGAGCTTTTTGTCTAAAATAACCTTAACTTAAGGGTCTTATACTCAAGACATAATAATAATTAGAGAGTGAAGGAAAGAGGAGCATGTTAGGAAACCATAACTGATACGATCATCTTAAACCTTTATTACCTTCATCTTCAAGAGGATTAAAAGACCTTTCATTTTGCAAAAGAACTTCTTTCAGTTCTTCTAATTCAGTGTGCTCTTTGGTGTACATTCTCTTCAAGTTTTCCACATGTTGAATCATCACTTCAACTGCTTTACTAACTCGGCTTTCCTAGGAGAAAAAAAGGTAAAAATTTACATTGAAAGTACTACTCTCGATACACAGTTAAAAGATGGTGATCAGACACACGAATTTATCTTGACTCCATTCCTAAACCGCACTAACATGACAATAAAGATTTTTTCAAAATCGCAGATGCTTTTTTAAAAATGGGCAGATAGAACAGAAGACATAAACAGCACAATTGTGAAAGTCCGCTAGTACAATGACTAGTGGGGCATGACTGAGCCCGGAAAAAGCTGAACCCTAACAAAAGAGGTAAGAAAAGCCTAGAAGCAGCCTGGGCTGCACCACAGAAAGCCCCGCAGGCTCAGGAGTTAATGGTGCTTCTGAAACTAAGCTTGAAGGGCGATGTATGAATAGAAGAAATGGTTGAAAATCTGTGTAGAAATAATGAAAAAGGAGAGAACTTAAGCAAAAGTTGGCATATCTATCAACTACTGAGAGTAGCTAGCCTTATTTATTCCTCCTTCCAACTCTAACACCGACTGCCAGGCTTTTACTTGAGGCAGGCGGTGGGAAAAATGTTCTTTTGGAGAATCTAACAGTACAGGACGAAAGCCCTAAATCAACTGACATTAAGAGTATCCCAGTGGCCTATTGCTCTTGTAAAGCTCAGAGCCAAGAAGAACCTTTTCTTCCCAACATGTACACCGAGCCCCCAACCAGAGGAGAGCCTCTCGCATGAAAGGAGAAATCAAAACAGAAACGAGCAATCTGGAGGAGACAAACTGCTGAAAAACCGAAACTCCAAGGAAACTGTCAGTATCTTCATGGAGTTAAAAGTAAGTACTGCATCCATGGTAAGAGCAAAATAACATTACAAAGCAACATTCTGAGAATACGAAAGTGTCTGGGAATTAAAAATAGGAAAAAATATGTAATGCAACCGGAGAGTGTCAAGATAAGGTTGAGGAAATCTCCCTGAAATTAGAGCTAAAAGACTAAAAGGTAGAAAAGAGGTTAGAAATGACCAGTTCAGGAACTCCAACATCCAAAGAATAGGAATTCAAGAAAGTAGAGAAAATTCCACAAAATGCAGAAAATTAAGCAGCTAATGATCACAGCAAAGAAAAACGATTAAGTCTAGGAAGAACATTAATTTGCACAAAGAAGGAAAGTCATACACTGCTCTTTGCTATGAATAGAATTTACATACTTATAATAATATTTACACATAATTTGATCTAATAGTATTCACCCACTAACTTACTTTTAATTAAAAAATTTAGTTAAAAAGTTTTTATATGGACCTAAAAAGTACACAAACCCACACATCCCCATCAACCAGCTTCAAGAATCATCATTTTGCCATGAGTTTCAGCTCCTTCTCAATTTTTGAATATTTTGTTATTTCACTCTTAAATCTTTACAATTGGAGTGTATTTCCTTGAAATAACTACAGTGCCACAATCCCACATAGCAATAATAAAAAACACCTTAATATCATCTAATTGGTATTCAAATTACCCCAGTTGTCTCAAAAACATCTTTTTACAGTTTTGTTTGAATTGGAACCTGAGAAAGTACATTTCACTGTATTGTTCCTTGTTTATATAAGTGAATACATAGTTCATACTATAAAAGTAACTACTTTAAAGTGAACAACTCGGGGCAATTAATGCCTGCACAGTGCAACTGCCACTTATATCAGGTTCCATAAGGCTTTTATCCCCCTAAATAAAATCGCATTCCCACTGAACAGTTATTCCCCATTCATCCGTACCCCAGGCCCTGGTAACCATCCTTCTCTAAAGATTTACCCATTCCAGATCCTATAAACAGAATCAAGCAACACCTGACCTTTGTGTCTAGCATCTACACTTAGGATAATGTTTTCCAGATTCATCTATCATGTATCACTCAAATAACACATATCAGCACTTCATTCTTCTTAATGGCTAAATAATATTAATTATAAAATATTGCAATTTATCCACATCTTTGTTTTTTTTTTGTAGCTATCCTAGAAGGTGTGCAGTGGTATGCCATTAAGGTTTTGATTTGCATTGCCATTGCATTCTCTAATGCATCTTTTCATGTGCTTAGTGGCCATTTGTATGTCTTCTTTCGAGAAACGTTTATTGCCCATTCTTAACTGGAGTGTTTCTCTCTCTGTGCCTAAGTTGTAGCTGTTCTGTACATAGTCTGGGTACGGGACCCTTATTCAACATGATTTGCAAATATTTTCTACAGGTCATTTTGCACTTTCTTGATAAAGCCCTTTGTCACACAAATTTTTAATTTTCGAGGAAGTCCAAGTTATTTTTTTGTTGTTGCTTTTGTTTTTTTGGTGTCATTTACTCATTTTACAAATAATTTTGGGGGCACCTGTTTTACATTAGGCACATTTTAGGCTTAGGGGATATAAGCAGTGAGCCACACAAATATTCCTGCCTCCATGGAGCTTATATTATAGTGAGAAGAGACATACAAAAAACCAAGATGTCAATAAACTGCATAGTATGTTAGAAGGCAGTCGGTGCTGTGACCAGCAGAAGGCGGCAGAAGAAGGGTGAAAAGCCCTGGGGTGGGAGCGGCTGCAATTTTACAAAGGATGTCAGGGAGGTCAGGGCAGGTCCTTCTGTGAAGGTGACATTGGAACAAGACTTGATGGAGGTGAGGGCTGAGACATGTAAGTACCTGAGGAAGAGTATTCTAGGCCGAGGGAGCAGCCAGAACTGAGGCCTGGGGTGGCAGGGTGCTTAGTGTGTCTGGTGACCAGAAAGGCCACCGGTGTGGCTGGCGTGCAGTCACCCAGGAAGACAGTCATAGGAGAAAAAGTCAAGAGGTAAGAGAGCAGTGGAATCGTGCAGATCTTTTTTAACCCATTGAAGCATTTTGGTTTTTATTCTGAAAAAAGTAAGGATCCACTGGGAGGGCTTTGCACCAAAAGTAACATGATCTGCCTTAAATTTTGAAGAATGATTCTGGCTGCTTTATTGAATATAAACTATGTTAGGGGAAGGATTGGGTTTGAATAGAAACAGATCTTTTACTGAAAATACTGTATTAATCTGGAAAATATAGAATGGTGACTTAGATCAAGGTGGTAGCACTGGGGAGGGAAATACATGGCTGAATTCTGGATATATCCTGATGGTGGAGTGAATAGAATTTTCTGTAGGGTTAGATGTGGAATGTGAGAGAAAACTGTTGAGAATTATCCACCAAGGGAAGGGCAGAGTTGTCCTTAAATGAGGAAAGGAGGCTATGTGTGGAGCAGGTGTTGGAGGGACTGGCAGCAGTTTATTTTTGGATATGTTAAGTCAGAGTTGTTTATCAAACATCCACGTAGAATCACTGTGTCAGCAGTAGTATATTCTAGTTTGGACCTCATGGCAGAGGTTTAGGGTAAGCACGTGAATTTGGGAGTCATCAGCTGACTACGCAAGATGGTATAGGATCAGGTGAAGACGGAGAGAAGATGTACAGGGTGGAGCCTGGGGCCCATCAAGGAGCTCAGTTAGCATAGAGCAGGGGTGTTTTCTGGCTACGCAGGAATGAGCAGGTGGCAAAATTGAATTAAACAGAGTCAGAAACTTTCTAAATGAGTAAAACAAAACGAGAAGGAAAAGTGTTGAGGGTTCATGCAAGGGAGCAAATACTGTGTTTGACCTTGGCATTCAAGCTTGGTTAGAGAAGGAGAGAGATCAACAAAAGGGGGTGAGACAGTGAAAAGTGTGAGGGGGCAGAGATGAATAAAATAACTAAATAATCTAAACCAAGAAATATCTAAAGCTAGAAATAAATCACTTAGGGACAGTAAGCATTTTATTTAGAGAGATGGACGTAAACACAAAACAACCCAAAAATTGTTGCTCTGGAACATGGGAAAATGAAAAATAAGCCTTGCAGAATTACTTGATTCTTTTTCTAACTAGGCATATACATAAATAAAATGAAGAATATTATTCTCTAGTGAGCAGTTAAAAAGGAACTTTTTAATTTTAAGCTATTAAAAATATGCAACAAATGATCAAACTAAAATTACCACCACAATTAAATGTCTCCTTTTTAGGAAAATATATTTTAACACATTTGTTTAAGTGTAAATTTAAAAAATTAGAGTCTCCCCAGATTTACCTAGAAAGAAAATTCGAAATTCTGCTTATCTATGAATAAGTGTACAAAGATACATATACAAGGATGTTTACTGTAGCATTATTTATAATAGCAAAATATTAAGAACTTTCTGAAATGATCAAATGTAGGAGATTGGTTAATTTAGATCTATTCAACCAACAGAATACCATTAAAAGATTTGCATTTATATATTTGTATCACACGGAAAGTCATCTATACTATATGTTGAATGAAAAAAAGATTATAACATTGTATGAAGGGAGTGCCTAGAAAAAATATGTCACAAACATTTTATGATTGTCAGTAGCTGATGCTACCATGAGAAAATTTTCTTTACATTCCATTTTCCATTTTTCCTATATTGAACATATATGTCTTATACAATAAAGATGTGTTTTTTTTTAAAGTTCTTCCTAGAAACATAATCCATAATCTCAGGGATAATAAATCCTTTTAAGAATCTCATTGTAACTAGAGACATGGAGACAGATTACCTGATTAATGGCTCCCAGCATCTCAGCCCTGCTGGCCACTCGTGTTGTGCACTGGCTAAGGAATGTTATGCTTTTCTCCAGCTTCTTAATGATTTCCTGGGCCTGGTGGTCATCTTCACATAGATGTGCTAAGGACTGCGTGGAAAGCAAAGTATTAAAAAGTATCCAATCCAGGAATTCAGCTAGTGACTCTAACACTGACTATGTTGTAAATGCAGATGACAGTCAAATCTCAGTCGTCTGGGTGGGGGATGAAAAGCAGCAGCACAGACCAATAATGAATGATCCTGAAATGGTAATCCCTCTGTTGGCTATCACATAGGCCTGCACAAATGCTCAGAAAACCTATTGTCTATTCCTGATCCTTTCTTTCTTCACTTCTCAAATTTGCTTCATGTATATTTATAACTTTCTGTATATTTATATCTTCATGTATAGTTAACATCTTTCTTTTACACTTAATAGGGTGGGATCTAATTAGTTGGTATTGGGTAAAGAAATTATGCTTATAAATGAGTTGGGTCTATTATATGAGGAGCCTAGTTTGAACTTTTAACAAAAGTAGTGAAAATGTATCAGAATTAGAATGGCTCTGATAACTATATCTGCTCATCCACTGATAAAAAAGTGTGATTGGGTTGATGAGGTGGATATGCCTTCACTGCCTTATGAATTATTTCTCTCAAAACTGCCTTCTTGATCAAAGATGATAGCTTTCCTGATGGAAGACCATCCTTTTCACTAGGGTGGAGACAGAATTAAGAGAACAGTATATTTGGAAGCAAACAAGCCACTGCTCATTAGCTATATAAATAAGCAAATTTCTAAGACTTGCACAAACCTATAACACCATAAATTTCATATATCATTTAGAAAGGAATAATCTGCCAATAATTAACTATTGTTAATTATAAGGAACTATTAACTCTAAATTGCATCCTAGTTCTAGAAATGTTATAATGTCTAACTTTCTGATTTGCTCTTTCCTCATCTGTTGGATAGAGACAATTACGTTGTCTTTCCAGGAATATTATTATATGACAGGTAATAGCTGCCAATTGCTTGTCACACAGTAGGTGCTCAATGAATGGCAGCCACTTCTGAAAAGGACAGGTATGTATGAGTTGCAACAAAAGAGTTGCCCACCAACTGGAATGGCCAGTTTTGGACACACAGTTTCCTATTTTCGTTTAAATAACCACCTTTGGTTGTTCCCAGGAAAAAGTAGACATTAGTTGTTAGCCAAACAGAATATGGTTTACCTACACATAATCATGAAGAAATAGAAATTTGAACAGACCAATTACTAGTAGAGATTGAAACATTTATCAAAAATCTCCCAACAAAGAGAAGTCCAGTGATAGATGGCCTCACTGGTGAATTCTACCAAACATCTAATTAAGAATTAATACCAATCCACCTGAAACTCTTCCAAAATATTGAAGAGGAAGGAATGCTTCAAAGCTCATTGTTGGAGGCCAGTACACTGATTCTGAAGCCAGACAAAGATACTCCAGGAAAACTATATCCTTTAAGGCCCATGTCCAACAGACCAATATTTCTTACCAGCATTGGTACAAAAATCCTCAACAAAATACTGTAAACTGAATTCAACAGCACACTGAAAGGTTTATGCAGCCTAACCAGGTGATATTTAGTCCTAGAATGCAAGGATAGTTCAACATAATGAAAATCAGTACAGTACACCATATTAAAAGATTAAAGGATAAAAACCATATGATCATCTTAATTTATGCAGAGCAGTATTTGACAAAATTCCACATCCTTTCATGATAAAAAACAGTTAAAAAACTAGAAGTAGAAGGAAAGTACCTCAACATAATAAAGGCCATATATGAAAAGCCCACAGCTAACATTATACTCAATGGTGAAAGATTGAGTTTCTCTTCTAAGGTCAGGAATAAGGAAAGGATACCTGCTCTCACCACTTCTATGCAACTTAATATTGGAAGTACTAGCCAGAGCAATTTAGGCAAATAAAAGAAATAAAAAATTCACATTGGAAAAGAAGAAGTAAAATCATCTCTGCAGATGATATGATCTTATATACAGAAAACCCTAAAGATTCCACAAAAAGACTGTTAGACTAAACAAATTCAGGAAAATTATAAAATATAAAATCAACATATAAAACCAATTGCATTTCTATGCACTAACAATGAACAATCAAGAAAATTAAGAAAACAATTTCATTTATAATAGCAATGAAAATAATAAAATACTTATGTATAAGCCTAACCAGTAGGCAAGAGACTTGGGAATTAAAGACACAAATAAAAAGAAAGACATCTTGTTTCCATGGATTGGAAGACTTAATTTTGCTAAGATGTCAATAGTACCCAAATCAATCTACAGATGCAGTGTAATTCCTATGAAAATCCCAAGTGCATTTTTTTCAGGAATAGAAAAATTCATCCCCAAATTGACATGAAATATTGAAGGGCCCCAAATAGCCACAACAATTTAGAAAAAGGAGCCCAAAATTGGAGGACTCATGCTTTCAGCTTTTAAAACATACTATAAAGCTATAGTAATCAAAACAGTATGATACTGATATAAAGAAAGACATGTATGAAGAGAATAGAGTGCCCAGAAATAAACCTATAATGATAAGTGATCTTCAACAAGGATGCCAAGACTATACATGGGAAAGGATAGGTTCCTACTTGTGTGTGCCTTGTACAGGGCTTGCCCATCATGTGACAAGACTGAAATCAGTCACCATTCTTCTTCAGTTAATTAATGGAAATAAACTTTTGATTCTCTTCTTTGATACTTAAAATTCTCCTATTGCTCAGTTTTCTGCATGATTACTTTCTGTCTGAAATCTATTTGAAAATCTAAAAAGAAGGTGGATGAGCCACACAACTACTTAAAAAAGGCATTTGTTTTATTGCTTACACTTGCCTATTAGTGAATATTTTATTCCCAGCCTGATTCTTAATTTTTAACTCCTATTAATTCACATTTGGACCAGGCAGGGCTTGGTAGCTGGTGTTGGTTTTAGTTATACAAGTAAACTCATATGTAATTTGAAAATAAAATATCAACAATATGATCAAATGTGCTATCCCCAAATGTTAAGATGCTCACCTCTAACAGCTTTAAACAATTAGTGATTTCGTGCTTCAAATTTTCTTCTGCCAAGTCACGGGATCTTTCCTCAAGCTTTACTCTCTTCTCCAAGGTGAACCAGTCACACTTAAATCCCAAAGATAATCTGAGAAATTCGGCCTGTTGTCAAAATAATGTGAGGGTGAGGGGAGAAAATTGGATGTAGTCAAATATTTCAGTTTAATAATGGATTATACTGAAGCATTTCTTTCTCCTTTGAGCAGCATGATGCTGGCATGCATAGGCTTTACCTACACTTGGTCATTGACAAGCCCATCGGACACCAAACATGACAACTTGTGCAAAAAGCATGAAGTGACTCTAGGCAAGAGAGCCTGAAACACTTTTTTAATTAAAGAAAAATATGTTTTCTTTAAACTTACCTCCACCTCCTTCTCAGTAGCAGAAGTGCTGTAGGATAAGACAAAGAATTTATTCAAACACATTTCAATGCAGGAAAGCGATAAACGTTAGCATGCTACGTAAAGAAGAGCTTACTTGTCACTCTGTTTAAAGTTAACCGATTTCATAGTGGTTACAGGAAGAGTGGAAACAGCAGTATCCACTAAAAGACAATAAAATGGTATTTGATTAGAAAGCTTAATAGCTGAAGCACTTTCAATCAAATGTTGTTATTCCCTCTGTCCACTAAAAAGGGCATTCCATTGAAACAAATCTGAAATGATAGCCAGCTAATAATGCATTTGCTAAAATATAAGGTAATGTTATGCTATTGGGATCACAATGGCTCTAAAATGATTGGTTCATACTTAGCCTGTGAATAGTCTGAAACCTGAAGATATCTCAGAGCCAAGGGACAGCCCAATTTGTTCTCTTCACATTTGAATGTTTATTTGACTTGATACAAACGCATACCTTCCTCTGATACTCTGGTCCTTTGGATCAACGTTCTCATAGCAGCAATAAAGGTAGTAGTGATTTTTGCAGTAGTAGTAATAACAATAACAACAATAACAGTAACAATAACAGTAACAATAAACATGGTATCAACCATTTATCACAGGTCAATATGCCAGTCCCAGAACAAGGCTCTTTGCACATATTTTTTTTTATTAGGGTATCATTGATATACACTCTTATGAAGGTTTCACATGAAAAACAATGTGGTTACTACATTCACCCATATTATCGAGTCCCCCCAACATACACCATTGCAGTCGCTGTCCATCAGTGTGGTAAGAAGACACAGAGTCACTACTTGTCTTCTCTGTGCTTCTCTGTGTCTTCCCGTGATCCCCCACACACTAGGTGTGCCAATCATAATATCCCTTCTCCCTCCCTCCCCACTCCCCCTTCCCCACCTCTCCCCTTTGGTAACCACTTGTCCCTTCTTGGAGTCTGTGAGTCTGCTGCTATTTTGTTCCTTCAGTTTTGCTGGTTATACTCCACAAATGAGGGAAAGCATTTGGTATTTGTCTTTCTCTGCCTGACTTATTTCACTGTCTTTGCACATATTAATGACATTCTTCATGACAACATCACAAAGAGAACAATAAATTACATATTAAGAGCATTAGATTTAGACTTAACAGCTGTGTGACCTGAAACAAGTCACAACTTCATCAAGCCATCTACAAAATAAGGATGATATTATCTTGCTATAGTAGCTAACATAATTTTATGAGAATTCTGCCAGGCACTTTTCTAAATGCTTCCTACACAGTTTACTCAATCCTTACAGCAAACCTTCTGTACTAGGTACTATCTATAGTTTATAGGCTAGGAAACTGAATTGCACTTTATTAGCCCATTAGGTCTTTGGCAAAATGAAATAAACTATGCACATAAAGAACTTAGCCTAGTACTTAGCATATAGCATATTCTCAATAAAGGGTACTTTTTAAAAAAACTCATTTCCATTTTGCAGATGAGGAAATTGAGACCCAAGGTTAAATAACTTTGCAAAGTCATAGCTAGATTCTCTATAACTCCAAAGCCTAGGTTATATCCACTATTCTGTCCTAATAGAGGTGAACTGGGAGGGCAGTATATTAGTACTCATTCTTTAAATAATGGCTTCTTTACTTTTAGATGGAATAAGGAAAAGGATGTTGAAGTAGAGCTTCGCATTTACTAATGACATTGGTATTGTTCTTAGTTCACAGTAGGGAACTAATTACAGGTCCTCTGGGGCTGAATCGTCAAAGCAATCTAAATAGGGCTTTCAGAAAGAATACAAATTAAGTCAAGAATCAGTTCTATTAGCTAATTTTATCTAGAGATGCAGAATTGTAGATGTCATATTTTTACTCAAAAGTCTACTGTTCCCAGGGTTTGGAGACAACATTCCTTACCTCCTGTGGCACATTCTTTTCTATGCACATCTATTGTTTCTGGTTCCTCTTTGGCTTCCTAAAATCATAAAGAGATTTTATTGCTGTGCATAGAGTGGAAATCCCTAACAACCAATAATTTTCCAACTTCCTGTCCTCTCCTAACCCTACCCTGTTAAAAATACTCTACAGGATTCAAAGAACTATACTAGGGGTTAGGAAGAAAACAGGACTGGCTCCAAAGTGGGTTTCCAGTCTAGTTGAGGCATAGAGGACAGAAATCTATGAAAAGCTGCAAACGTGATACAAGTAGAGCCTCTGATACCATGTTATATAATTCTTACACAATGGAAACTGAGATTTTGATAAAATTAACAAATGCAATAATACAGATAAAGCACTGAATCATTCTTACCAACAAAACAAACTAGGATTAATTAACAAATATGTAAGATATAGGTAAATAAATTCTCTGCAAAGGGAGAAGAGAGACCATGTCTTGAGAAGCATGGAAAGTCTCTGCAGACAAGGAACATTCTAGAGCTTGGTGGACAGGTAGGATTGGATGCATGAAGAGGTGAGGGTGATTGAGGACAATTACATGCAGCTTTCTAGAATTGTTGGGGAAATTGGGACAAAAATAGTTGCTAAGATTGTGTTAGGCTTTTACTCCATTATTGATACATTTTAAGGTCACTGACCAACTCTCCTCCAAATGTATCTATAGAACATCAATCACAATAAGAAGGTACAGCCTGGGGAAACCTATGGGAAAGCTATGCACATTTTTTAAATGATAATTATATGACATTCTCAGAAATTTTCCATGAAAATAAGTTTAAGACAAATTTCCTTTGTAGAGCCATTGATATCACATGATATAATTTTCACATAATGGAAACTAAGATTTTGATAAAATTAACAAATAAAGTAATACAGATAAAGCACTGGATCATTCTTACCAACATTAAAATATTAGATTTTTGAAATCCTCCCTCAACCCCACACCATTTCCAGCTACGGCATTTTTTCCCCTCTCCTGTCCTTTTTTAGCCACACTCCCTCTGGGAAGATCTGGCCATGGTCGCTGCTTCCAGCTCTTCACCTCCCATCTGTGTTCAATGAAATATGTACTCTGCCCTGAACCCAGCCCTCCAAGGACATCGCCCTCCCCAGTCATCAGTGAACATCCCACTGCCAAACCCAAGGGATAATTTTCATTATCTTACTTGACCTCACTGTAGCATCTAAGATGGTCTATCATCTCCCCCTTCTAGAAGATTTTCTTCCCGTGGTTTCCCACTCCTGATACCCCACCCCCATCATGTAGCTCCTTCTCAGTCCTCTCTGCCGGCGCCTTCTCGGATTGGATGATGGGATTGTCAAGAGTCTGTCATCCCCAGTACTCTCTTCTGGTCCGCCCGTGTCTTTGGGAAATCTCACCCACATAATTGGCTCTCTGCTGACGACTCACAAATGTGTGTCTGCTCCTGAGAGTCCCATGGGTGAGGGTATGAATATTAGTACACAGCTATATAGAATCTCCTTACAGAATATGGATGTCTCGCATCAACCTGAAACTTGACTCATCTCAAACTAATATTATTTTACTCCACAAATGCTACTCTTTTTACTCTCTCTTTACTCTCGTGCTATTCTGGTCATTCTGTAGGTTAAACCATAAGCCTGGGTATCTACCTTTCCAATGCCGCTGTTCATTAGTTACCATGTGCTGTGAATTCTTTAATATCTTAAATCCTTAAATATCTCTCAACTTTGTCTCCTTTTCCTCCATCCTTACCGGATTCGTACTATCTTCATATCTCTTACTTGAATTATTACAATAGCACCCTAACAATTCCCTACCTCCTTTACTACATTTTCCAATTTGTTAATTCAAACAGTAGGGTTTTATACACTACTAGCATAATTATAGAAACCAAATGAAGAGAGGATGAACAATTAGTAATTTAGTAGCTTTTTAATAAGTTGACAAACATTTTATTTTTCAAAAGCTTCTTTATTTATATCTTTGAGATGAGAAGAAAAACCTAAGAAGGCTACTGTGTAAAACTAGAGGACTTGAATTTTCCTCTGTCCATTTTTTATAAGGGACAACCCCTTTCGGCCCATGTGCTAGCCACTACTACACTCTGTACATATTATACATGACAAAGGGCCATTCCAAGTCACATATGTAATCACTCCACTCCTTTCACTCTTAGCAATCCAATAATAATAGAAGTAAATAGTAATAAGATAGAATGCTATAAAATTTTTATCAACTTTATTGCTTCAAATGTATCCATGTCATCACCTTCTCTTAACTTGTGTTAGCCTGCATGTTTCTATTTCTTGTATCTAAGTAGGCCTAACTGAAATAATCTGTATATACTGAGGGGGAAAACACCACCATCACACGCACACACCTCTGCAAATACGGAGAGGCACTAATACATAATTAAGACCCTTGAAGAGAGGTGGAATTGGGTCTGTAGTCTACAAATTAGTGTACAATAATTATAAATTCATCCCAGTAGCGATGAGCCTTTTCTTTAAGGAATTTCATGCTTTTTCCATAAACATTTAAATAGTTATTCCTATGTTTTGTAGCAGTTTGCCAGGCACCTGCATAGCATTCAATCCCACTCACAAGTACCTCCTCCGTGACACCTTTTCTGGCCTCTCACACCAAGCATTTTTCTTTCATATCAATAACCACACTCTAAGTGCATGTTTCTTTCCTTTGTTAGACCGTATCAATCTTCAAGATAGATATCACTGTTTTATTTAACCTTGTTTGGTAATGCATTCATTTATTGAAGAGCCCTCTATTGATAGATACTTGTTTCCAGCAGACACTGGATGAATAAATGAATAAGTGCACGAGTGAACGAGCAGTCATTGGAGTCAGGAGGTCCCAGCTCTGACTCCCTTGTGTGACTTTGGACAAGTCACAAGCATGCTTTGACTTCAACTTCTTCATCTATAAAATACTGTATAATTAAATTCTATTAAGCTCATAATATTTTGAAAGGACAGAACTGGATAGTGCTTTTAAGAATATTTTGCAAACTTAGAGTTCTACCACTGTTATATTTATTGTTACGTTTATTGTTACCATGTGTGTATGTTCTTACCATATTTAACATGGTTTTGTCCTCATTCACAGAGCCTTGGAGTGCAATATTCTCAGGAGCAGGACTTTTGTCTATGAGAAAAGAAAACATGCAAACAGTGTTGGGGGAGTAGTAATGAGTAAAAGAGGAAGAAATAGCAAAGGCAGCAATATGGGCAGACAAGTGGCCCAGGCCTTAACCTGAAAGACAAATTGTGTCCTCCAAAACCTTAAAGGTGTCCCCTGAGTCACAATCAGGGGCAGAGCAGCTGAAATTCCTACAGAAGGCAGCCAGATCAGGTTTCGTAATAGAATTGACCATCTGTATATATGGCCTTCAAATAGCAGGGTTTTAAAAATCCATTCAAAGGCTGCTTTTTTAAATCAAATACATTACTAGCATAATTATAGAAAGCAAATGAAGAGAGCATGAACGATTAGTAACTTAATAGCTTTTTAACAGGTTGACAAACAGGTTTTTTAAAATTACCTATGCAAGGCTGATAAAGTATTATATTTTTCCAAAACATGGTATTTTTTGAAATAAAATGTCATCCAATTAAGAAGACTTACTTTTAATTTATGCCTTTGTTTTTGTATACTTTATTTGTACTGTAATGTGCTTGATAATGATTTTCCTGTTCATATGATCCATTGTCCTGAAATTAGTTCAGTGCAGGCACAAAGGTCAGCAGCTATATTTTTTTCTTTTTAAGAAAAAATATGAAGGATGTATTATATTTTTAAAATTTATATAGAAATAAGAAAATGGTAACCACTGTCTTCAGAGAGATAAATTGATTTTCTCTATGGAAATTTTATTTTAGTTTTTCTTAAATTTTAAGACATTAGATAGATTCATATGTTCCATAAATAAGAGTCTGTAATGTTTTACAGTGAAATTTTCCCTCCCCCATCCATGCCTGCCAGAAACCCACTTTCCCTCTTGATAGTCAATGTCATTAACTCTTGTCTAGCTTTCCAGAGATATCTATACATATATTAAACTTTTTCCTATCTTTTTTACCACAAGTTTTACATGCAGTACATAATGTTTTGTACTTGGATTTTTTTTTCTTCAAGAAACACTAGTTCTTGTATCTATTTCTTTATATACGAGAAAAAAGTTTCCTTATATATAGTTTATGGATGCATATTAGTATTCCATAAGATGGATATGCCAAAACGTATTAACTAATCTTCTACTGATAGTTTCTTTCTAATATTTTGTTACTACAGACAGTGCTTCAGTAAATAAACTTCCACATGTATGGTATATGTGTATCTAGGATTATAGGATAAATTCCCAGAAACCAAACTGTTTAATCACAGGATATCTACATCTAGCATTTTGGTAGATATGGACAAATCCCCCCCCCATGTTAATTACAATGTCACATTCTGTAGAGCAAAGTATGAGAATTGCTTTTCCCCTACAACCTTACCAACAGAGTGTAATCAGATTTTCCCACCTTTGTCTATATGACAAGTGAAAAATGATATCTTGCTGCTGTTTTGATTAAATTTTTTCCTATTTGGTGTGAGGTAGAATATAAAGATATTCCTGAGTTACCTGAGGAATGGATTCCATTTTTGCAATTTTATGGTTCCTGTAATCTAGCACATATGCCTCAAATTTAACTGTGGTTCAAACAACAGAATGAATGTTCACTGATTTTTGTTCTTTTTTTTGGTGGGAATGGTTGCCTATGCTTCTCGTGAGTGTCAACTGTAGTGATGTCTCACTGGGAATGGTTGAGAATAACTACTTTGTTTTCTGACTCGAAAGGCAGAAAAGAGTCTAATATATTCTCGTTACTCCTTTTACCTCCTGCGTGGACCCTCACAAACTGGCCCATCCTTTTAAACAAATAGATTTTACTTAAGATTCAGAGAACTTCCTGATCAGGTGATTCCACATCTGCACCTCAGTTGAGACCCAGTTGTCCAACCAGTCTTTGCCGTAAGGAAATTTTTAAGTCCCATTAAAATATATTGTAATTTTTGTTCTATCTATAGAATTTGGGGGGTGGGCGTGAAATGGTAACTTTATCATGTATGAAGGCTGTGGTCACCGCTTTGACTTCTTTCCTCAAGACTCTGTCTTTAAACTTCCTTTATAAAATATTACTCAGCTACCAAGATAGTTATTCCACTAGCTTACAGGTCTGCTCAGTGTTTAGGGATGAAACTAACCGAACCCTCCAGCACCTTACCTTTGATCTTTATCACAGAAGCTGGTCTTGTATCCTCCTCTTTCTCACAGACTAATTTGCAATCAAGGTCACCAGAAGCCATATTCAAAATTTCTGACCCAGAATCTATCAACAGGAAGAAACTAACATGTGAATACTATGCAAAAAAGATTATTTGCCTATATTCTTTTCATTTGCACACAACTCAGTAGGTCACAGAACATCAAGCTTTGGGTTATAATACTACTATTCCAGTTTTATATCTTTTCCAAGTCTACTCACCACTTGAAGTTATAGTACTTTCTGTGGATGAAGTGTGTGCAGGAGATGGGAGTGTGGAATATTCCCTGTCAAATGAGTAGAAGAAATATTTTAGAGCCTCAGGTCCAAATAATTCTCTTCAAAATTAGCAGAGTATGCATCCAGTGTCTCTCACACACACCCACACACCCACACACCCACACACCCACACACCCACACACCCACACACCCACACAGACAAACCTGGGCTGTGGCAGGCTCTTGGAACGTATGTGTTCAACACCATTCTCCTTATGAAAAAAAGGAGAAGCAGCAGGTTCAATAATTTGACATTTTCCATTCCAGAGAGGTTGTTTTAAGCAAACATTTTCATAATGTTTTACAAGAACACATATTTACTTGGCTTTTTTGGAGAGGACAGGGGAATGGGATGGTATACGACAGGTTGATAGACACACTTCCTCAAAGCTGTACTTGTAAAAACAATCTAATTTTAAATATACTTACAAGTTTGATATTTAAAGAAAACCTGGTAAATTCTTGGGCAAAACAAATTCTACACTTAAAGGGCAGATAGAACTTATTTCATGAACTTAAGTTTCTTTAAACAGAACATTCTATGTGGGCGTTGAATAACATTCTATTTATGGAAATATGACACAACCTAAAACTTCTGATCTAGTGATTTAAAAATGGTTCTCAATTTTCTAGCTAGATAAATTATAACTCTTAAACATAATCCAACCCTCAAATATCTAAGAATTACAACTAAGTTAGTACCTATTACTAGGTGCTGCAAAGGGCCTTTGCAAAATTGTGGTCTAGCCTGCCGGGGCAAGTGTTTGAAATCTCTTATGAACTTCTTGAGCTCTATCAGGAGTTCCTAATTTGGGGAGAACTTCAGAATATTAGGATTGGTTAGCAAATATATTCTCTTTCAAAAATTAGTGGGAACATAGCTTCCTCTTACATGATAAGCTTTTCTACTAAGTATATTTTCATTATTATTTGGCTTAGGAAAATAAATTAAAATTTAATTATTTAAAACTGAAATTATTTGGACATATCAAAAGTCTGCCCAGACAATGCAAAAATGAAGACATTCAAATATTCCACAATCAAACATAGAACTTCTTGTTAACTGCCACAACCAACAACGGGTTTACAAAGGAGAGATGCTCTATGTCAGACCCTGTATTTAGAATCTTTTCCAGATAATACTGACTGTAGTCACAAAAGGTCAAGGGTTATTAGCAAGAGTTGCTGAACATGTAGTTACTTAATACAATTAAAGCAGCTTACATCTTCGCAGCACAGTACAATTTACAGAAGACTTTTTTTGTATCATCTCATTTAATTATTCCAAAAATCTTATGCAGTGGGTTTTAGCAAGAAAAGATACACTTGTTTCAGGTAAGGAAAGTAAATCCAATGAATCAAATAATTTCCCAGGAGTACGCACAATGGTGGAATCAGCCTCTAAACCCAGATCTGACTAAATGCAGTGTTTTCTCCACGGCAAACAGGATAGTCTCTGAGACACCCCAACCTAGGCTACTGGAGAGGCAAAGACTTTCCAATTATTGTCTTAGACTGACAGATGATATAAATATAAGCTTTTTAAAAGTTCACCTGAAATGTCTAGAAAAATCCACAAATTTGCAAAGCAAGCATTTACACCAAATCCTCATACATTCATGTTGGGCAATTTTCCCTCTTCTATTTCATTCTGTCCTTGCTTTAAAAGTCTTTGGATCAGATCATCTGTGACTGAAGCCCTTTGAACATCAATTTAATTTAATTCAGCCACTTTCATCAAAGGCCACTTTGCCCCAAAGGCTGGAGACACACAAAAACACAGTCCTTGTCCCTGAGAAGCTCACAGGCCAGTCAGGAAGACAAATATACAAAACAAGTAATTCCTAAATCACAGTCAGTGTTTCACAGAGGAAAGTAATGTGCACAGAACAGAAGAGAGAGAGGTAGTGTCTGAATGAAAGTTTGAAGAGAAATTGTCCCTTGTACCCTATAGTAGGCCCTATCTTTAAACTACTTAAATAGATTGTATTAGTAAATAGTATATGCTTATTTAATATATTACTATATATATAATAAATGAAGCTATAAAAATAGGGAAAAAATTAAATATCTTTCAGTTTCATTGAGTATCATACTTCATAAAAGTCAATACAGATTGATTCTTTGATTTTTAAAAAAGTTACATTTAACACTCTAACATAAATATTTGTTATATGGTTTGAAATAACACTAATTTCTTTGCTATAATATATAATAATCAATAATCATGTTAAGACAAAAATAATTATAATTTAATAAATATAATATCATATCATACTAACTAAAATGCTAATTTTGTCATAAAAATCTTACACCTACCAGGGTTATGGATATTTGCAATCTGAATTTAAGATGTATAAAAAAGAATGCAGTTATTTTGTTTAATTAAACTTATTTCCAATATGGGGGGAGAGGGAACACATAATTTATGCAAACTTTTTAAAAGTCTATTATTTATAGTCAAAATAATACACATAGCAAAAATACAGCTTGCTTCCATTGTGTCACAGATGAGTCTCATTTGCTGTAAAACTCTGTATAAGCCATTCTTTTGTCCTACACCTTATTTGCAAAATGTTTTAGTGAGAAGGCTTTTGGTAAACATACATTATTTATTGATTACAAAAGTAATAATTCTGTGATTTTGGAGAACTGTGATATATGTAGTAGTTATACATTGTTCCAGAACAGTTGCAAGATAAGCAATTGGATATTGCTCCCAATTCATTACTCTTTATAAATCTCACTGATCAGAACACAACTCAATATACAACATATCTCAATCCTAGATTTTCATAAATTTGGTCTAAAACATTAAAACATTTTCCCTTCTTATAAGAAGAACCAGACCAGACAAAAGCTTCTTTTTTTTTTTTTTCAAATTTAGGATTATGGCTAATGAAAATTGGAGAGAGCCCCTCAGGGAGCCTGTGGTGTGGAGTGGGAGGTGGGAGATAACACTTTTCGCAAGTATGCTCTTTTCTTCCAGCTGCTAACGTCACCTCTATTCAACCCAGCATCCCACACAGGCGAGCCTGACTCACACACAGCAAATATAAGAGCTGGGCAGATCATGAAAAAGATAATCTTCTGAATATATTTTAAAACCAAGGAAAATCAAGAAATTGACTAAAAGCAAGGACAAGAAAGTTTAGACGAGACTGACTTACGTGTCTAGAAGATTGGCTCCAGTCAATGAGTCTAACACATGCCGACAGCACAGAGCAGGAAGAATCTCTTCCTGTCCAAGCCATTCAAATATCAACCTGCATAACATTTCCATGAAAATCTGTGGTCCAGCCCAACTGCTTCTGACAGTAAGTGTCTAGTAAAGGGTGGGGTGGTCAAGGCAGTCACAGAGCACAGTGAGACAGGTTCTTTCATGGGCGGGCTCAGCAAGGTGGGCCACACACACACATACACACACACTCCGGTATTATTTCAATATTAAGATAGAAAACTATGAAGAACAATAAGAAATAACTTCTAAGATATTAATAAAGTCAATTAATAGGTCTAGATCAATTCCTAGGGGTTTTTTTCTTCTAGATGAAATGCTTCTTTATAGATTTTATGATCAGAAACCCTTCTAACAAACATTCAGGTTATCAATGTAATTTTTACTTTTTAGATCCATTTTAGATAATTGGTGCTACTCAAATAAATATGATTTTCTGAGAAAAAGAAAAACTGAACAGAAGCAATCTATATAGACTTGCTGCATTCCAACTTATAAAAGAAAATACCCTTGCCTGGACAATATTCTAAAAAGAGAAAGAATGTAAAATTGAATGTCAAAAGATGGTAACTGCTGTAACCCAAACAAAACTCAATCTCCTCACAGGTTTTTTTGTTTTCCTTTCCAATTTTACAGTAAAAGACCACCACACCCTCAGACCTACAGGACACACCCCACCTCTCTCAGGCTCATGTGCACAATAGGTATCAGTCAATTTCTACATGTCCCAATTTTGCAATTGGCAATGTTACTTATTCTCCGAGGTTACTAATGCTGCACCCACACACAGCTTGAAAGAACAAGACAATGGCCAGAAAATCTTCTGAGATATTTTTAAGTTAATTCTGTCCTTTGCCTTATAAAGCACCTTCTCCTAGTGATAGTGTAACTTAGACCGTAACATGTAATAATATGAAGGAGACCTCAAAGGGAAATGACAAGACACTATTTTTTTTGAATAGCCAACGGAAAAAGAAATTTTGTAAATAATTCTCAGGGGAAAAATACAACAAACAGATACCAACACCAAGATAAGCCAGATAGTGGAATTACCAGACAGAATGTGGATGAACCTTGAAAACAGCACGCTAGGTGTAAAGAACCAAGTCATAAAAGATCATATGTTGTATGATTCCATTTATACGACATGTCCAGAATAGGCACATCTGTAGACACAGAAAATAGATTGGTACTCTCCAGGAACTGGGAGACAGGAGCATGGGAAATGACTGCTAATGAGTGTTTGGTTTCTTTTTAGGGTGATGGAAGTGTTCTAAACTTAGTACTGATGATTGCACAGGTCTGCGAACATACAAAAAATGACAGAATTTGTACACTTTGAAAAGGTGAACTGTATATCCTGTCAATTATATCTCCATAAAACTGTTACTAAAAATGTCTTGTACATATGCATAGGAATATATCTAAAATGATGTTCACCAAAAGAAAGGGGGGGACAGGAATTCATCTTTGTAACCTGGTGACAAGGTACCTTCTGAGCTTCATGCTAGTGAGTCACAGCTGCTTTCTTCTGCACGGTTACTATGAGCCAGGGGCTTTGCCTATGTTACAAAGGGCCTTGGTGGGATCAGATCTGATAGTGGAGCAGGTAAAGGGGAGAATCAGTTTACTTGTCATAAAATTTTCAGGGAATTTCTTAATTCTTGGAGTATTTGGGGACTCACGCAGGTACTTAATCACATGTCCAGTTTTTCAAGGCCCAGAAACCCTTTGGGTCACTGTTCAGACACAATGGTGGGAACAGCAAATAAGGAAAAAGACTTTAAGCAGAGACACCTGGGCCCTAGAGAGAACTTGTCAAGCATGAGGGAGAACTGAGGAAGCTGGCCAAACCATGGAATCTGGCCACTGAAAGGAGCCGCGACACTTGATTCGGGGGACACCGTGCTACTGAGCACCATGTCCCCCAGCCCTGCTGGACAATCCTGTGCCTTGGGAAGTAGAGGATAATTTTAACAACCCCGTCACAAGGAGCCCACCGAAGGGCACAGAGGCCCAAGGCGGTCAGCAGTGGGGAGTGCTGTGGACAACAGATGGGAAGCTCTGCAGGGGTGTGAGCGGCAGGAGCCACTGCCTTTCTCCACAATCTCTCAGGAGGTTATGTTCCTTCCTGAAGCCCACTGGTTGGGGGCAAAGGGGGGTTGCCCGAAGCACACTGGGAGATGCTGGCATGGACCCCTCGAGATTCTTGGAAGTGTTGAGAAGGGGCCCCGTGGAAAAGAAAGGCCTTCCAATTCATCAGCAAGTGGGGAACAGAACTGAGATTTGTCTTTCCTCTAAATAGGAACAACTTGATTTGTTTCTAAAACTTAGCTGCTGGAGATAGGTATATGCATATATGTAACATATGTACATGCATACATGTGTATTCAAATCCTCAAAAGAATCCAGCAAAGTAATATCTGTTTCATGGAGGATACAAGCAAATTGTGCAAAAACCTCCAGAGAGGTTAGGCCACTTGTCCCAGTTCACACAGCTAATAAGTAACAGAGCCAGTCTTAAATCCAGGCCTGCTTGATTCCAGAGTATGCTATGTGGCTAAAAATTCTAAGTCTATACTGGGAAAAATTCAAGCAAATACAAAAGCAAACAGAATAGAATAATTGCACTTTGTGTGCCCATTCTGCAGATGCAAGAACTATGGACCTGTGGCCAATCTCATTTCATTTATACTGTCACCCACTTAACCCACCCCTAAATTGTTTTAAAGCAAATCCCAGATACCAAATATTTCTCCCATAAATTTATCAGTCTGAGTCTCTAAAAGACGACCGGAAATAATTTCCTTCTTTCTTCTCTACACCAAAATAACCCAAGTAAATGAATTTGCTGGATCAGTAAAGTACCTGTGTCCTTCCCAAGCATGTCTCCAACTGGGCCCCATGTTATTTTACTATGAGAGGTTCTTTTAGAGTCCTCTGCTCACTCAAAGGTCCTCCAATGAGTACCACTGTCCACTTATTTCATACTGTGCTTTCTGGATAAGATGCTCATAAAGTTTCCTCTCTGAGTTTGGGAGGGTAATGAAAAATAAATCACAAGTTGTCAGGAATACCCGTCCAAAGAAAGGACTCAGAAAGCAATAGGGCAGGGCTGTCAATTCAACAAGTTCATTAAGAGTCTGCTCTCAATGCCTTCGATAGACCCTGCAGGAAGTACAACACTAAGTGAGTAGGCACGCAATGAACATCAACAGGGCAGCTACCTTACACCAAATCTATGCAAGGCGCTAAATGCGTATTGGTTAATGACCGAACAATGGCATTGCCCACCTAGCTTCTCACCTCTAACAGGAATAAATACAAGGAAACAAAGAATTACAAATCAACCAGAACATAGGTGACAACAAGGGAAGGCTAAGAGTTACTGGGGTCTCAAAGAAGGAAGTGAACTTATTTTTTATATTTTCCTGATCGGGATAATTGAGAAGTGATGAAACCAAGGCCCGAAAGGCATGACTCTTCATGGTTCCAGAGAGACAGAGCCAGAAAACCCCCGACCTCCCCACTGCCGATACGTTAGGACGCCCACCTCAAGGAGGACTAGAGGGGCTTCACTGTAAAGCATTTCCTGCCACCCCAAGAAAGGGTCTATGGGACAGTCGGGTTTTGAAATGGGCCTTGACAGTCAAGTAGAACTTGAGAAATGGAGACGTGTATGATGTTCCGGGCAAAGAAAACAGCACAAACAGGTTTGTGTGGTACCTTCTGATAATGCACAGCACCTGGTTGACTGTCACGTATGGGAAAGGTGAGACTGTCACGTGATGGGGAAAGGCGAGAAAGTGAGGTTGCAGCCAGATTAGAGGGAGCCTTGAATACTAGGTCAAGTTGTTTGTTACGAAGGCTCTCCAGAGTAAAACATCCTATGATTTGAAGCTCAAGAGTTAGGAAAACACTATGATTTATGGGATAACACTGAGGTAAACATTGGATTATGATTTTTGTAATTTTTATGTCATACTTCATTCCAATATCCTGGACTTATTATTAATAAGACTGCTTACGAAGGTTTTTTCTAAGAAGTGCTATTTGTTCAAGAGATGGGCACCCGAGGCATGTCGGGTAGAAGGTGGGGATTTAAGGGGAGGGAGCATGCAGTGAACAGACTGCAGAGATTCTTCAGTGGAGGGAATCCTGGGAAGAGAATGATGAGAATTGGCTGCATCAGTCCCAAAGCACAGCCAAGAGAATAGCTCCTCGGGAAGAAGTGGCTCAGAGGTTGGCATGAAAACCTTCAGGGAACACATACATCTTCCCAAGAGTGAACAGCAGTTTCTACTGTGACCTCTATTAGGTCCTATTTTTTAACAGGGGTCAAGATCATAGACAAAACAACTCTGTCATATATCCTAATGACAGTGGGTTAGGAGGTCCTTACAGCTAGACAGAGTGGCACATTTCTTAGTTGAAAACTTCTTTCAAGGTACCATGAGTCGTTACTATGATGGAAATGTCAAAATGTCAAAATTGAGGGTTCTAAGAGGGGACTTATTCTTTGAAACTAGACAAACCTGGATTTGAATCCCAGGTTTGCTACCTATGAGTCAAGGGATCTTGGGTAAGTTAGTTAACCTCTCTGAACCCTAGTTGACTCGTCTGTAAAAGCAGAGAACACCTACCATTCAAAGTCATGGGGAGGATTAGTACCACGGCATGTGGAAATGCCTTCCCACAAAGTACCTGGTACACAACTGATGTTCGATTCTTCCCCCTTCTTGGTAAAATCAGAGCCAGATAAAAGGGAAATTACTAATAGCCAAACATCCTGTAAGCTTCCAAGTTCAACTTCCTTTATTAAAACTTTACAAGAACTGCTAAGTAATAGCAAAACAGATTCATTTCCTTTTTCTTTCCTTTTCTTAGCTACTCAATAGGTTGGGTACTAAGAAACAGAAAAATATCAAATACACAAACTTTGCAGGAAGAATAAAAACATGCATATGTTTTTTCTAGTTTTTCTAGTGAGTTCACTAGCAAAAAAGAAAGAAAACCTGATTTTTAAAATGGGCAAAAGACCTGGGTAGATGTATCTCCAAAGAAGATACACAAAAGGCCAAAGTAATGAAAAGCTGCTTAATATCATTTGTCATTAGGGAAATGCATTTCAAAACCACAATGAGATACCACTTCACACCCACTAAGGTGGCAAAAATCAGAAAGACAGACAAGTGTTGACAAGGATGTAGAGAAGCTGGAATCTTTTGGTAATCTGTTTTGCAGTTCCTCAAAAACCTAAACCAAGAGGTACCATATGATGTAGTGATTCTACTCCTGGGTATGCATCCAAAATAATTAAAAACATGTATTTACACAAAAGCTTATACACTAATATTCACAGTAGCATTATTATCCAAAAAGGAGACACAACTCAAGTGCCCATCAACTGTAGAGTGGATAAACAAAATGTGATATAGCCATGCACTAGAATATATTATTCAGTCATAAAAAGGAAGGAAGTATTGATAACATGCTATGACGTAGATGAACCCTGAAAACATTATACTAAGTGAACGAAGCCAGTCACAAGAGGTCACATATTATTCCATTTCAGTGAGAAGTCCAGAACAGGGGACAGCAGAGAGATGGAGAGTAGATTAGTGGTTGCCTATGGCTGGGAGTTTAGGGGAGGGGGTATAGGGATAGATGGTAATGGGTATGAGGTTTCTCTTGGGGTGATTTAAATGTTCTAAAATTGATTGTGGTGACGGTTACACAAGGCTATGAATTTACTTGAAACAACTGAATAACTTTAATTGATGAATTGCTTGGAATGTGAGTTATATCTGAAACAGAACTGTCTGCTCCATTTGATTAAGAAAGTCATGAAGATCAGGCTCAGACTGTAGACCAAGGAAGGCGCTCCAGACCTCTCCCCATGACCTAGGATGTCTGCCTGACACTAAATAACTAAATAAATTATTGGGTAGAGAAGTATCATTAGTACGTAACTGCAGCAAAGGGTGCTCACTCTCTTGGCTTTGCCTTTGTGACAATTTACCAGTATCTTAAAGATTTTCTAGTCTTGACCTTAATTCTTAGGGAGTCGATGGGACCTGAGACTTCTTACAGCCATTAGTGAATTTAAATCTCAAACCACCCTGCCTCTCAAGCAGAAAGTACAACACACTTCATCCAAATCTCCTTGAGTTAATAAAACAGAAGGGCTAGAAAGTCCTTCATGACTGAATTTTAATTTCTTGCCATCAAAGGCTGACATATCTCATGCATCTGAGTTTTGTGGTATAAGATTCATGCTTGCTGTATGACTGTCCATACTACTCAAAACAAGATGAAACAAACAATAACAGAATACCCGTGGTAGAGGACTAGGATACAGAAGTACTAAAAACAAAGGTGAAATACAGTCCTATACTCACGTCCATCCTCAGGTCATCATTCATCCTGACGCAGCCTGGAAGATCTTCTCCTGGGTGAGGACCAGATGCAGGGCCTGGGTACCTAGCAAGAGAGTAAAATTCCTTACTACAGGTAGAAAAATTGCGAATTTCAGCAGACACTAAACTAAACATAGTTCTCCCCGACTCTTACCAAATTTCGAATTAAGTTCATGGCTTAAGGAATGAAAGAGAGCTCTAACTTCCATCAGATAGAGGTTACAAACCATAGAGAACCCATCCAAAAATGAAAATGGAGGTTCTGCAATTCAGTCTTGCTTCTTCATCCTGATTTCATGGTGGGGGAGTGGAGGGACACTGCTCACAAACCCCAGTGACATGTGTGAACTTTCCCTAAGGAAGATGGGCCTGTGTACTGAGAAAGGTAAGTGAGCAGGGGTGAGCTCCAGGAGAGGGTGCGGCAGGGACAGGGACAGGTTTCCAAAGTCTCGTTAACTTTGAATGTGAAGGAATAGAAATATGATTGAAGCCTATGTGTGTACAGGTTAAATTAGCAGTCTGCAGTGTGTCCCTGTACAGTGGGAAACAGTCCAGGAAGCCTGATTGGTCTTTTACATTTTAGAATAGAGACTAATGAAATTCAAAAGAGCAAGAAAACTGCACTTTAAGAGAACTGTAGAGATCTCTGTTTTACAGTTGTCAACTTTCAGAAACAGAAACTACACAGTAAACATTCCACCAACAAAGATGTTATTCTCTCAGGATATGAAAGTCTAACTTACTAAAGTTTAGGCAACCCATGAAGTTTTGACTACCCATGAAGAACAGGGTATGTTTTGCTCTTTTAACTTACTTGTGTCTTCCAGTCACACCCAGAGCGCCACCCTCTGGTTCTCCATATTTGGGCCTTTCACATGAAGCATGGATTCCACTGGCTACACGTGAGAAAGGTGTCAATTCCAGTCTTGGAATCGTTGTAAGACTATCCAGATGCAAGACATCTACAGAACAGGAAAAAATAAAAACAGAAATTTATTTCTGGTCCAAACTGTATTATATAAATTCTTTCCCTCTTAACAGAGTGGGCCATTTCTGAGAAAACAGAAGTCAATTCAATTCCATTAACATTTTAACATGCCCCCCACCCCCAACCATGATGCCTGGTTATATGGGGTGGAAATGCCAAAAGGGAAAGAAATCAGGGGGCAGGGTTGGGATGGGGGAGACAGAAAATGGTTGCCCCCTAAGCAGCTAGAGGGATCAACAATCTGCAGCCAAAGGGCAAAGTCCAGCCAGCTGCCTGCTTTTGTAAATAAAGTTTTATTGGAACACAGCCACACCCATTCAGTATGGCCGGTGGCTGCTTCTATGTTACCACGGCAAGCTGAGTAGTTGCTGCAGAAACCATATGGCCTGCAAAGCCTAAAATATTTACTATCCGGCCCTGTGCAGAAACAGCTCATCACCTCCTGAAGACAAAATAGTTAGACATTGTGACTGGAATCCATTAAAGAGTGATGCAGGAAATAGGGTGACAAACTGCTTTTTTGGTTTTTGTGTATGTGGGGCGGGGGGGGGATTTGTTTGAGGAAACTGTCGTGCTAGGTATTTTCCTGAGTATAGGCTGCATCAGCATTTAATAGAAAAAAACGTAGGCTTTGGAGTCCATCACAATTTTCTAGTTCAAATCTCAACTCTGCCATACACCAATTGTGTCATCTGGGCTAAATAACTCTGTCATTCTGAGCCTCAGGACTGCCATAGAAAGTGAAATTATGACCTTAGGTGAATTCTTAACTCAAGGTTCCTCTGTTTCCTTACCTTTAAAATGGGAATGACATGAGCATCTACCTCACAGAGACAGAGTGAGGACTGAATGAGTTAACAGATATGTTAAGAGCAGAGAAAGGCCCCTGGCACGTGGCAAGCATCTTTTAAGGGTTGTCTTCCTTGTCGGTGTGTTGTTACCACTGAGTGTGAGTGAAATCATCTCTATAAAGCACTCATCTGTTGCGTGACTCAAATGGCCCGTCCATTAGTGGTGGTTCCCCTTCTCTAGTTGAAACAATCCACAGATCACTCTCCTCTCTTACTGTTTTGATAATCCTCCCATTTCTTTTGTCATTTCCCAACCAGCCATTAACATTTGCTTTCAGTCACATCCAGGCTGTGATGAGACATGTCACTCATCTGAGCATTTCCTAAGATAAAGCTTATTGGCCTGACGTTGACTCATAGTCCACAATTTGACATACAACCTGCCCCAAATTTCTGCTCTACTGTATCCCAATGCTTCTTGTTTCCAGAATGACTTGTCCAGCTTTGACTCTTCTCCAAAAACTTAAGGCTTTTGCCTTCTTACTTCTGGGTTTCCCCTCTCATATCCCATTTGGAATACTTTTCTATGTCTGTTGTTTTTCCAAATTCAACTCATCTTTCAAGGCTGGAGTTTGACTTCTTCTATGGAGCCTTCTCTGACTTCTCTAAGCCCAGGCCTTATGTCCCCAATAATCTGTGAGCTATTTTAGGGCTTATTCTTCATCCTACATCATAGGGGCCTTGTGCAGAGTAGATGCTCGAACATATGTTGATTGACTGAATGTAAGGGTGAATATCCAAGTAGTCAGCAACTCTTCTTATACAAATATAATTGCGATTAATTATTTCCCCTTTCAGAAAGAGCCCCAGTCCCAGTAGGTGTAGGACAGAGGCTATCCATGCTTACCCAGCAGAGGTGTGTTACCAGCATATATGTTTGAAGGTCAAAGGTGTCTGCTGTGTTCTTGCTTCTTGACTGCTCTATTGATTATGGTAACACTGCTTCTGAACAGAAGACCAAGTAGTATTAGCTATCTAAAAGGGTGTCACAGAACACATAATCTATTCCCTTCATCTCCAAAGGTAGAAAAACAATCACTGGTGTCAAATAACCCTGCGAGAGAGGTTGGAAGGAAACTAAGGATGCCAAATAACAAAGCTTTCATGCTTTTGATCAACGAGTGCACCCTGTGAGTGACGTGTAACTCTTATTAAAAATCACAATTTAGTAATTCAGCAGAATGATAACAACATCAGTTCCCAATAGTCAACATTTTCATTTAAACATAGGCTTTGGGGAAAGGTATGGGTGAGGGGCAAGCCTGTTACATAATTCTTCATGACACTGCAATCAAAAATTTTTAAATATTAGATTGCCTAGGCTCTACCAGGGTTGTGTGCATGCACATGACAAAGGAAAAAAATAGGTATCCATTGCTTCATCTGATAATCTCTCGAGAAAAGCAATACAGTTTAGAGTACTAAGACTACTCATGGAGACTGCATTTAACTTTCTATTTTGGCATCATAGTTGATTCACAATTGGCACTTAAATACTTTCAAAACGCTTAAGCTTACCCATTGTTCTTGAAGATGTAGTTGAATCCTTTCTGTGCCAGACAAGGGGCCACACTGAGGAAATTCCTCATCTAACCAGCTCTGTCACAGGAAAATGGCGGAGTATATTCAATGACAGAATGATGACAGAGTCAAAGGTACAAGATGCATTAGACTCAAGAGAAGATACGATACTACCCAGGGAGGGTAAAAGTGACCGGGTCTTGATCTCATGTGCTCATTTAAGGGAATAAGTTTGTAACTGTACACCTCTCATTGCATTTTCCCCATTACTTATCCTAGGAATGAAATCCAAAGATCCAGAAGAGGCACCTGAATGGCTTTGTCATGGAAATCCTTCAGCACACGCAGAAGAAACTTATTGGAGATTTAACTCAGAGCAGTGAAAATGGTGTCTGAAAACTCTGTGGCAATAAAATTATGGCCTTAGCCTAAGAGGTTGACATATATCTGTCATAACAATACAAAATTTTGTTGATATTCTGGAGAAGATTAAAGCATATTTAAATATGGAGGTTTTTCCAGTTCAATTCATTAAATGGGGCTTTTCAGGCATTCTGCCTCACGTAGTCTCCCACGTGACTAATTTCTTTTTCTGCTTAAACAGATGTGCCTGCATTGTGCCCTGCAGAGTTCCATGCAAATATCGCCCTTCTTTCTTCCCTCCTGCGGCCTCTTCCTCCAGTGCCAACTTTGCTATTTCTCTTAGGTTCTTTACTTATGAACAAAAAGGAGAAATTCACCAATGTCGTAAGAGACAGAAATCCATTAAACTCTACCACGAATATATTGAGATCTCCAGGCAGAAGGGAGTTGAAAGTTTAATGCAAACAGGAGAAAAAAGAGAGAGTAACCATCAAAGCCCATTCAAGAATAAATGTTGAAGACTATAGGAAAGGAGGTGCCTAAGACTAGAACACTGGCCCTTTGCCAGCAGACGCGGTAAATTCTGAAATGCTGCTTTCTTTGAAAGATGTTATTAGGAGCCACTCACTCATGAAGGTTCTTCCCTCTCGTTTTGATAAAGCTTTCAGTGGATAAGAGAACCAAGTCCACCAGAGCATATTCTTCTAAGTGCATTATTCAGTTTCATGGTTAAAATTACTATAGATTATCTTCAAAACCTTACACAAATTGGACATCTTTCCCACAGTACCCACACATCACAGAGGTCTGCTTTATTTTTAACCAAGCCATGGGGTCCTCCTTTAATTAACTTCTTCCTCAGGGACTCAACTGTTGCTACAAAGAGAATTTCTAACCACTGAGTCTGACAGTTTGTAATCCCCTTTCCCTTTAATTTATTTAATAAACTCTTAACAGCTTTCAGTTTGGGGTCTGAGGAAAGGAGAGAGAAAAACGATGACTTCTGGCATTCTCAACACATGACTTGGGAAAATGGAAGAGCAGAGAACAGAGCGAGCTGGAGCAGCTCACCTGTTCAAAATTCACCCTGAGACATGCAAGTGAATTGCCTTCCAGAAATGAGTCTCAGAATGCTTCCATCTTAAAGCGGGGGTACTTCTTAGAGGCCATTCAGTCCCAGTGCCTGCAGAGGTAGAAACCTCCCATCAAAAGCTTCTGCTTGAGCTTTGAGAGAGGGCAGCCCCAGAATCCGGAATTCTGCAAGCAGGTCTGAGATCATAAGACACTGCAGGCCAGAGGATTTACATGGCAACTGGTTATTTGTGTTGCTGACATCAGTCTCAGCACAGGGGCAAATTAATCCTGAAGTTAAAAATGTTTGTCTTTCTACTTAGTTGAAACCTGCCTCTCAGTAACTGCCAAATTCTCTTCTCTGGAATAATGGAAATGGGAAAAAAATACCTATTAAACTCTTTTGAGTTACACAGTAACATATTACTTCTTTGACAACCCATACTCTTTGAAATAAAGCCAAGAACATAAGTCCAAATCTTTTGAACAACCAAAATAGATGTTGACATCCATGCTCTTTACTCATGTGACAAATCCTCACACTTCCACTCAGACAGTAGGCTCTGAGTTTATGCATAATTCTCACAAGCTTGCCTGCCTTCTCAGCCCACAGATGATTAAAAACAAAAATTAAATCAGGGTAAGAAACTCTGCTACATGGAGGCATATTAATAGCTACCACTATTTTTTTTTTAAAACACTAATGTCCAGGAAAATTAACAGCAGATACTCTGATGCCCAAAACACATAGAATTCTGGTGCTTCTTATTTTAAAGGCCAATAGTTTTATATATCAATAGCCTGAAAAAAATCCTGAGCCACGAAAATAATGCTAATTATATGGGAATATACATAATCTAATTTTAATTTTTTTTTCAGGAGAAAAGGCTTGAAAAGCTTTAAATGTGTGGAGAATTACTCTTATTTTGTAATTTTTTTTTTTTGGTAGAAATACTTTCCTCAACCAAGCTTGGCATAGTGTCATTAGGCCCACTAGGAGGAAAGTATGTATTTTTTAGAAATATTTCTAACACACTTAAATAATTGAAATTTTAAAGAAATTGCTAATACTCAGAATGCTAGTAAAGATTTTATTTTTAAGAATTATCTGTTAACTATATTAAGAAATGAAGCTCTGTCCTCCTTCTCCTGACCTACAATTCAACAT